TTTCTAACTAGTACTCTAAATCTCTGCCTCAATTATGTCCTTTTATATTAGGATGTATTGACGTTGAAAACTGCACAGACATTGCTCTCGGTTTTCCGATCGAAGTAGATTTCGAAGTCATTATTTTTCTTAGCTAAACGATCGCCAGTATGATCGGAATGCTGAAAGAATATATATTGATCGTTTCGAAGACAATCTTATAAGACCACAAAGTCATTTTCCTTTCGTAAAATTCCTTTCGCAAATTCCTTTTTCAAAAAATAGCTTTTTGCTAATTTTTTTTATAAAATTTCATTTCCCTTTGAATTCTTATTTGTTATTGCGCGTGTTCTTAGCAATTTAAATACTTGGGCGGTATTGCATATTTCACTTTTGTGTAAAAGTGGGTGTTGTTAATATTACAATTAAGGAATTTTCATTGAGCGCATGATTATGCAAAGATAAAAGTAAAGATAGCAATGCGCATTTACTTTCGCCACATTTGGATTTGATATAATTTATAGGTAAACGAGTGGCCAGTAGGAAACGTTTGTTTGTAGAAAACAGCTCAAATTCATACTAATTTATATCGATTAAATATTAATATTACAAAAATACACATTTAAACATATTAAAATAAAAAAGTAATAATTAATTTATATAAAAAATAAAAGTATTTCTAATTATAAAATTAAATTATTATAAAAAAAAATAAAATAAAAAAATAAAATAAAAGAAAAATAAAATAAAATAAAATAAAATAAAATAAAATAAAATAAAATAAAATAAAATAAAATAAAATAAAATAAAATAAAATAAAATAAAATAAAATAAAATAAAATAAATAAATTGAAAACCATTTTAGCTGATTTTATTTACTAAGTAAGTGTAACTGTTTTTTTTTATTTTTTCATTCCGAGTGCTACATTTCTGAGCACTTCATAAATATTTTCAAGCAGATGCAACAAAAAAAATGAAACAATTAAAACGTAATTTTTAAGGCAATTACAATAAAGTAATATTAAAATACCTTCAATCAGCGTATCTATTGTACAATAGCTGTATGAGAAGCAGAGCAGTAATATACAGCTGACAAGTGTCGTCACAACATTTACGTGGGCGGGTCAGCTCCATAAATGTAACGCTGCCATGGATGGTTATTGACAAGCGCTACCGGCTGTTTAGCGAAATGGAATTGTAAATTCATATGAAAATAACAAAAATATCTAAATATGTGTAAGAGTCGTAATAGAAATCAAAAACAAATCACTTACCAGTAGTCTTATTTGTTGCTCTATATGCATATTAAATAAAATTAATTTGCTTACAAAAACACAGTTGAATATATGTACATACATATATATTAGCTATTCATTTTGTTGTTATGTACACAAAAACAATTGCATATATCTTTCAGAACTTGTTATGGAGTCTTTTGTTAGAAACACGCATTAAAATTGTTAATTGTTGTTGTAAGCAGGGAGGTATTAAACTGGCATGTTATGCTTCTAGTAGTGAACTAGTTTTCGTTGGAGGGCCAACGTGAATAATAACAGTATTGTACGAGTATATTATTCCTCCCACCCTCTCACTGCAGTGGTATATTCTTTGTTGGAGCGGCCGGGGGTTCTGGACTCACCACTGTTGGACCTGTGCTTTAAATGCTGAGTATTATTGTAGCCATCAGGTAAAGATATGAACCTATTATAGCGCAGGCGTTGGTGTTTAAATGACAACTGGTTGATTTCTAGCTCAAAACTAATACATTATTTTTCTGTGTGGTTAAGTTTCGCTTTTCGCATTGCCTTTTGGTTTCTATTTCCGCTCTAGTTTGTGTGATACGGTGGCTTTAAAGATGGTTGAGTTGAGACTTTAAAAGTATAATTAATGCCATACATGTCATTTCATATTAGTTTTATATTTATTGCTTTTTTCTTGAACGTAAAAGAAGGAAATTAAATTGGTTGAATATATGTTGTTGTGATTATTACAATATGTTAATGAAAACAAGAAGTTTACAGTCCATTTGGAATGAAATGGAATGGGAAAAAACCTTTCTGGTCGAAAATGTCGCTCAAATAATGCAAATAATCGAGTCTTGGTCGAGCCAATGCGACGGAAATTTCGCTTCATCAGAACAGCGCCAGACCACACACATAGATAGTGACGCCTCATAAGCTTCAAAAGCTTGGTTGGAAGGTTCTTGAGCATCCACCTTATAGTCCCAATCTCGCACCAAGTGATTACCATCGGTTCCAGTCTATAACGAATGATTTGGTTGGTGAAGAGTTTGCCTTGGGAAGGAATTTTTTAAATCGATTGTCTTAATTTACCAATAGGGGTAAGTGTTTCTAACAGGAAGATTTAAATGATGTTAAGTTCAATTGGTTGCCTGTTGGTGACACTGATCTTTAGTGCCATATTTCCTTTTGTATTTCTGGTTTAAAGAACATTTGCTGTTCTTTCGGCATTGGTTCAATGTTGATTGTAATTCGATTAGCTTTCCCTCTCGAAGGTAAATCCAATATCTGCCAGGTGAGTGTCGGACATGCACAGATTATGTATTCTATTCTTCCGTGCACTTTCTACAGTTTCTGCGTTTCTTGTCTTCAACTAGACCTAATCTGAAGGCACTTTTGTTTTTTGAGGAGTCTGCTTGTAGGAAGTTAATATTTATGCTTCGGGTCATAATTTTCCTTATTCTGCTGGATCTTGTTTGTTCCAAAAGTCTGTCAACTTTATGATACGCAAGCATTTCTGATTTTTGTATCACTTCTATGAAGGAAACTGGTAATTATAGTTACCTCTAGTTCTGAAAGGGCTTCATCCGTGGCCAGTTCATTGGTTTCTCCTGATCCGCCATGCGGAGCGCACCGATTTAATATGAACTTCTCTTTTATCCATAAGCCCTTCTATCTTCTTCCTACAAAGTGGAAGAAAGCTCTCTGAGTATCTACCTGGTCAAAAAACTACAGAGGGATAGACTTGGCAGAGCAGATTGATCATCTAGAAATACAGCGCCAAACCAGAACATCCCTTAATCAGAAAACTTAATTTGGCAATTGGTAAGTCGACAAATGCGGAGTGAGTAGAAAGTAGACTTAAAGTCCTGCAGTATTACTAGGCAATTGGTTATAGTCAAATCAGGTTAGATGCGGTGGGAGGTGAAAATTTTATTCGCGCTTCGTCGTACCAAAATAGGTTTTCACAATATACAATACCTATCGGTTGACAAAATGAAACTACGAAGCTTCAGCGCAGCGCTTGATTTTTCGAAAGAGGAGTTTCTGGGGGTTATCGAGAAGTCAAAAGCTAGCCAAATCCATCGAACCTGATGGATAAAAATGCTGAGGCTAAAAAACGAATATACAGCGTGAGCAGAATTCTTCAAATCCGTTCCTGGCCACTTTAACAATACTCAATATGTGGAAACGTGTTATTAAAACCAGACAAATCGACCAACCTCTCTTTCATTCAGCACATCATCATGGCTTCCGCCAAGTGCACAACCCCACTTAATTTGTAGCATTAACCAAAATTAAAACCGCGTGCGGACTGTCCTGGAAGCAATGGATCTATAAAACGCTTTTCACAAGGGTTAGTCATGTTGTGCTGCTATTGGATATTGAAGGATCGTTTCTAGCGCTAGGATTGGAGAGATGAAGCATGAGTTTCCAGGGCGGTAGATCTTAGTGGTAAAAATTTAAAAGTACGAAAAATTAGGCAGGGTGGGATGCTCTAACCGTTATTTTTTCATATTCGCCCATATAATATCAACTCCAATTACCACTAGTAGTCGCTTATATATATTTACATCGGCGCTTTATAACCGCTGAAGCGATTTTCGGCCCAGGTCCTCCTCCAATATGTGGTTTTGCATCTGCGTGTTTTTCCAAAAAACAGATGAACCTACAGTCTTTACTAAGCCGCCTCTGAATAACCGATGGAGGATGGATGAGGAGCCTTTATTTCATGTCAGAAATAGAATCGAAAGGCTTGACAATTCTTGCCGAGCGACGACCGGAGTTATAAAAAGAATTATTTTCTGTAAATTTGGATGTTGGTTGAACTTGAAGTACTCCGAATGTCAGTATGCAATCCTACAATAGAATTTTCCTGATCTTGCATACCAATCACTCGATATCCTTTATTAGAAGGCAAGCTGCTCGTTCTACAATCTTTCGCTCTTATTCACTGGACGACAACTATTTACCTGCAAAAGCTTTGGCTACACTCTTCTTTAGCTGGACGAAGGAGTACCTGCCGGAACCGAACATACTAGTCGATGTGGTTAAAATGCCGACAAAAAAAACCACCCAAAGTTATTGAGACCTTTAGCCTATCCGTATACGATTGCTTTAAAATCCTCAAAGCAGTACTTGTGTTAGCAGCAAATCATATTTTTTTGAAGGGTCAGAACTACTTCTGGAAAAGGTTCATAAGTAAATAATAGAAAAGTAATGCGCTGAAGACAGCTAGAGTCTACAGTAAAATTATATTCCAAACCAACTGATCCTTCTACTGGTGGATGGCATGTTTGAGCCAACTTAGTTTTCAGAGCTTACACCAATTAACGAAGCCAGATATATAGCCAGATTACACCTTTCTGAACCATTAAAAGGCGAACTAATTCTTTTAGAAACTGCGAAGGTGCGAAGGCTTTGGATAACTAAAAAAAATTTAAAAAAATTGAGCGTAACTTTTTCAAGCAAAACGAAGCTGAAGCAAAATAGAAAGCACACTCGCGCATGCCTACGTACATAAATATATAGATCTTTACATATGTACGTATTAGAGAAAAATAAAATAAAATTGCCATAAGAGGGGCTAAGCAACTTAATTTACGTGCCTTTAATCGACATTGAAATCAAAAGCGAATAATTTCACACACACACACACACACAAGCAGAGAGTTCTTTACTTTTTTGCACAACCGCATAGCTGCCACATACAACGACCCAACACGCCGACAATTATTGCATGTCTATAAAAGCTTGCGCCCAACCAAAGTCGCGTTTATTTGCACAGCGCGGAAATCGTGTTCGGACGTACTCGAGCGTATCCCCGCGAGTGAGGCAACGCTATCGAGCGGAAAATTATTGACAGTGAACAGAGTGTGGAAATTATTTCAATTAAGAATAAGAATTTGTGAAAAAGCAACACGCCAAATTAAAGAAAGCTGAAAAGCAAAGAAACATTCAAACTCACCCAAAGCATTTTCTAACTGCTTGCAAACGATTTATTGACATCAAAAGGACACACATCCTTTTGTGTTTGGCTTGCTGTGTTTTCTTTTTTTCTTAAGAAACTCACCTCGTTTTTCTCTGCCCCACAACAATGGCCGTTGTACCGTCAAATACAAATCTCAACGATTGGGATTATTGGGATTATCGGCGACGCCTATGGCGTGATTTGGATCTCGTCGATTGGGATTTGCCATATTGGAAACGCCTGGCACGCTTCAACTCATCGCCCGATCTCAGTCGTGTGATTGTGGGCAAAGATGGTTTTGAGGCGAATGTGGATGTGCATCCGTTCAAGCCTTACGAAATTCAAGTGAAGACCGTCGGCGATACGGTGATTGTGGAGGCGAAACATGAGAAGCGACGAGACGGTGACAACTTTGTTGGTCGACATATTGTGAAACGTTTCATTCTGCCACGTGGCTTCTATCCCAATGATGTGCGCTCCGAACTCTCCTCAGATGGCATATTGACCATCAAGTGTCCAACACCAGCGCAGCATGAGCGGAGTGTGTATGTGCGACAAGTTGGCCTGCCATACCTGAGCATAAAGAACTGATGAGGCTTAAAGGAACGCACACAAAGAGAGGGAAAGAGAGAGGGAGTGGGAGAGGGTAAAGGATATTTCTTTGTTTTACGCAATTTTTGTATGCAATCAACGCCAGCATATAAATATGTGTGTTGCATAAATTTTAGTTCTTTGTGCTTTTTTGCATAAAATTGCCAGAAAATAAATACGGAAGCGTGTGTTGGTTCTTGTATTCTGTTGATTCATATGTGCTCGTATTTTTGTTTTGTATTATTTATATGTAATAGTTTAGCGCACTACTAAATTGTCAAGAGTTCTTTGTTGGTTTAAGAATAATTTTTTAATTATATTTTTATTATTATTATTATTATTTTTTAAATAAAAACACATTCGTTAAGTTTAAGTAGTTTTTGAAAGAAAAAAATAACAATAAAAATTCACTCGATTCAAATGCCATTTTGTGGACTTTTTTGTAATTAACATAATCAAAATAATATTAGTTAAATAAAATCCAAGTTTACGAAATACGAAAATATAAAATTTTTTTTTCTTTTTCAATAATTTTATAGGAGAACCCCTGGAACCCTGCTTAACTTCGAGTTTAATTAAGCATGAAGTAAAATGATCTCTGCCACAGTGAATCGATACGATGCATATAGAGTTTAAAACATTTGAGTTCAATACTTGAGAAAAATAAGTTTTATGCTGGATTATGTTCCAAAAAGAAAATTCGATAATTTTTTAGAGCATACAGATTGAAAAATTTTTTTTTAATGAATCTTAGCCTGCCAATATCCACAATTTAAGTCGAAAGCAAACCCAAATATAGTAGACGACTCGTTTCTAGAGTTAGATTGTCATCTTGGCATCCTGGCAACTCCTACGAAGGCAGCTTAGCGATATCGCTGCCAAATCAATTTAATCGCGGTTAAAGTTTTATTTTATGTAATAAAAAACTCGAGTTGTTGTAGACCGGCCCGCTTAAATGATAAGAATATCTTCATTCTCGGCAATACACTAAATTCAATTAGTGCTGGAGTGTCGCCAATCTCTACAGGAGACGGTCAAACAGAACAGTTTGTCTCTCATGTCCGAATTGATGAATAAACTTGCTAGCCAAGTTACGATAAAGCTCGCATTGATATGCCTGCCGCAAATCAAAGCACACTTGGTCGAAATAGGATAAGAAGAGTTCACGAGTTAAATACTACTTAAGAAGAGGGGACATGTTCAAAGTAATAGGTGTTCTCACAAGCCACTGTGTGATAGAATGATGAGCGAGAAGGCTATGGGCTCCCTATAGAAGAACCTGCAGAAGCTACAAACATAGTGAGTAGGAGGAAACAATCAGCCATATCTTAAGCGACTGTCCTGCTTTGGATAGGGCTAGGTTTCGGAGTTTTGGAACCTTGTAGCTGGATGGTCTATCAAATATAGCCGACGTCAAGGTCTTGGAGCTATGAGGTTTATTAGAGAATTATATTGTAATAGCTGGATGATGAAGCTTGATGGTCAAGTCAATGGCCTAAGTGAATCCGATACGATATATCGCTAGCCACCATAATCTAACATAATCTAACCTATTATAGATGGTTTAGTAGCCGTTTTATAGCCAAGCCAGTGGGAAACATGTCAATGCAGCTGAGGAAGAAACCAAGAGCGGTTTTGACTTTTTTCCATAAAACCGACACGGCTGATTGTTTATTATTTGGATTTTTTGTGAGAAAGAAGGTCTAACAAAATCCAAGATATTTTTCCTTTTCTCAACTTGTTCTCCTAGTGGCTTTAAGCATTTCCCTTAATGAGGCTTCGTATGTTTATAATCAGCCCACATAATGCCTCATCTTTTATTGAACCTCTGTCCACCGTGCATAATTCTTGGATGAGTGAACAAAAAGAAGTCCCTTGGTTCTAGATCTGTTGCGTAGGGCGGAGGCTAACCGCTAAGGTGGCCGTTTATAGAAAGTTCTACCTTAAACTTTTCAAGTAATGATGCGTAGTTTACACAGTAATCGATTAAAATATCTTCATGACTATTCCAAGAAAGAGTCGTCATAAATTTCTCAGTCGAGTGTGTATAATAGTGTATCAAAGATTCATTTACCGTAATTAATCGGCACCAAGGTACGGATTTATTGCGTATAAATTGCAGCAACAGAGCATTCGAATTGTGACCAAATGGGGTTTCTAACGCCTGGTCAGCGTTCCTTTGATGAGCTCATGACCTCTGCTATCTCTCTTGGTCGTTTAGTGAACTAAGACTGTGTTTTCATCTATAGTTGAAGGTTTTGGTCCTGTGTCCTGAATGTTCGTGGCCTTTCAAGCTCTTGGGGATGGGTTGAAGTTCACATGGAATGTGGAAATGCTTTAGAGAGTTGTTTGAAGTATAACTGGAATACAGTCTGAATTGGAACCAAGTTTTAAACCAAGCCAGTTTGAAAAAGCTGCATCATGAGCTTCTCGTCATGAAAAATGGTATTAGCTCCCATTCAGCGACTATAGGACATAATGCAAGCTCCATTAAATATCAGATCCTCGCAAAAGAAAAAAGAAATGCAACAGGATACAGACCAGTCTGCTTATGGTGTTATGAGTTACCTCGTGCTCGAGCTCGGCATAAGGAATCCAGGACAACGTTCTTGCAATCCAGCAAGCTTTTATTTTTCATTTCCTTTTTTGGGCATAGCAAACATCATTGTTTACTGCTTCAGATCTTTTAGCGCTTTGAAACGTCTTCTGGAAGAGCAGACCATACAAAAATGCTAGAAAAAAAGTATATATAAAAGTATAGATTCTTCCATCGCTGCCAAAAGAATAATCTAACATTTTTTGTGCGTTGTCAAAGAAAGAAACTGCATGGCTCAGCTCGTCGGTCTTCGAAGTGAAATATTCCTAAGTACGCTAATGATCGCGATTGGGTATATTTAAGAGGCCGTCACCAAGATGTGGCATTTTTCTATGCGAGCTCCTCCTCTTATTTTTCGTGTGCGTTCTGATGATTATTCAACAAATAGAGCGATCTACAATATGCTCTAAGTCACTTCCGAAAGGCTCATGGGGGTCATATGAGGGGATTTAATTTAATTTCATTTCCCGAGCACAGTAGGAAGAGCTGACATTCCCTGCCGAGTGGCGATAACCAGTGAAAAATTTCGCTCTATAATTTTGAATTTTTATGCGCTCAGAATGTCGACGCGTGACTTTTTGCATAGTAGTACGTGCTACGACGTTGCACCTAGGATGCTGAAGTAGGTTGAAAACTTACGGAATGAAAGCCTGCCAGCATTGGTAAACTTGATCTATTGATATTAAGTATATTTGTAAACATATAAAACAAAAATTGTTTATTAAAATAATAAAAAATATTAAATAATGCCCAAATAAGAATTATCAAAAAAAAAAAAGAAATCCAACAACAATAAAATATTCATAATTACATAAATTAGCATTTCAAACGTTGCTGATTTGTTGTACTTAACAAAAATGGTAGCATGGAAAAAGCTATAATTGTAAAAGAAATGCAAAATTATAAAAACAAAAGCAAACAAGTTAATTATATTAACTCGCAAAAGCTTACAAAAACGATAACAAAAAAATACAGAAAGAGGCGTTTATTAGCTTAAATTATTTTATTTAAAAGCATTTTAAAATAACAACAAATAACAAATAACAACATACATACATACATATTCCTAAATAAGTATGTATGCGATAATTTTCATTCATTATATATTTTTTCCCATTTTTTTTTCCAACAAATTGTGCCTTCAACTTGAATTGTTTTCTTTGTAAATAAATTGAGTCGCGTATACGCGTAGGTGGGCGCGCCAGGCAAGCAACGTAATAACGACATATTTGGCAAAAAAGCGCGCGCGTTTATACATACAAAGAAACCTACACACATTCACATACCCGTTTGTTTGTACCCTGCAGGCTGAATTACTAGTTGTTAACTAGATTCCGACTGGTTTGTATTTTAGCACTAACTAATTCATCTTCCGCTGTAGTCGAGGGATTTGCATTGTATACTGCTATACCGAAGACCAGGGTTTGCGTTTTGGTTCAATTCATATTCGAAATTAAATAAAATTAACTTTTGAAATTACCGTCGTCCATCGGCAGCGAATGTCAACCCCTCCGAGTGTGTTTCTGAGATGAAATAAAAAAACTCCGCATAAAAATCTATTGACCAAATCTATATTTATATAATGACAAAGTACTATGAACTGTCTGACCTTGTATCAGCTATATACTAGTTGTATACTAATTCATATATGCATTATGAGTTTCTATCTGCAATAAAAGAAAAAAAATTAAAATAACAGCTAAGAAATCATCTAAATCCGCTAGCTAATGCTTTATGCAACCCATCGAAAAATTCCCGCCTGCAGCGAAGAGATGTTCCCGCCTTCTAAGGAGAGCGCTGTAGTTTGAAAAAGGCTCAGAGTAAAATAACTCGAGCTATCATGTTTGTAATTTGGTTTTTAAGATTTGTACACTTACTGCTAGGCTTATATTATAGCAGATCCAGTAAATAAAAGAATTCTGTATATAAAAAAAAATAACAATAAGAAACTAGTTTGCCTGCGTGAGCCCCACGAGTTATGGCTATAGCCTCTAGACACTCTTCTGTCATAAACATGTACCGAAGAAAATCAATTTGCGCAACTCAACAAATCCTAACAGAGCAGGCAATTGAGCTGTGGTGAGCTAGATATAACAACAATAAACAGTGGTGAAAATTATTATTACTACTGGCTGACTTATATACAAAATACCAGATGACCTGATTTCCTCTTCGAAATACTGGTATTTAACTATAATTTTTGCCTACTAGTACACCTTCTCACTACGGGGTAGGTATTCCTAAAAAGTCATTTTTATATGTAGTTATTTGTGCCCGAAGCTATTTGATTGTGAGAATATTTAGAACGCATTTAGATAAGTGAAAAAAATACTAATATTGATTAAAAAAAAATAAAATACTTAGTTGAAAAATTTTTATATATTATATATGTAAATATACGTATATATACGTATATATAAACAATAAGGGAAATTATGTTCGCCAAGCTTAGAAATGCTTGGAAAACAACAAACACTGGATGTTCGAATAAAATACTCACATCAAATTGATTGTCAATACTGAAGTAATAGCAATAATAGCAAAAGCGAATACAACCAACCAACAATCAATTTATTTGAGCGCTTGCAACGCTTGAATGGGAAATAAATTACGACACTTAAGGTCGTTCATCGATCACTGATCGTTTAGCGCTGATGAGTCGCAGCTTAAATGCTGCTGGACTAATATGCAATTGGATTTTAAATAAAAAAAATTTGCTCGGCATAAGTGGGCGCAGGCATACTTAAAAGCATGTAAATATTTATAAATAATTTTCTATTTCTTTCTTTAAAAAAAAAAATAATTTTTGCCATATTTTCTTATATATAAAAATTGTATGTCCGCTTGCAAAGTCACAGGCCGATTGACGTGAAATTATGTCCGATTCATTCTGTGGTCTCTGGGAAGGCTTATAAAAAGAAGAAAATAAATCATGAAGTGAACGAGAGACTGACTAATTGGAAAGTAAAAAATGTAAATAAAAACTACAAGTAAAAGCTGTGCCAGTAAAAGGTATGGAGCGACACACGCTTCAACGACGCATTGAATTTATGAAAAATTCTCTATAAAAATGAAGAAAACCTGATAGAGACGGTTCGTAAAACGAAAATATTTTTCGGTCGTCGTGAAGCACCTTGTCGGACCATAAAACTGAAATCGGTGGAAAAATGAGACAAGTTGGTGATGTGAAAAATAAATGCGTGTACACCGCACAAGAACAACTGTGAATATTGCTGCTGCAGCCCAAAGTGTTGATGAAACCCAGGGTTGTTCCTTTTGCGTAATTCTATTCAATTCAGCATTCAACAAATGGGTCTTAAGGCTTACAGAGATTAGTTAACACAAAAACTCACGGAGGTCGATCATCAACAACGCCGTTTCTCCGCTGATTGGGTTCTTGAAATGCATGAAAATGATCGATTTTTCATTGGAAAATCATCATGAGTGATGGAACCATTTCCACTTCAATGGCTACGGCATTAAGCAAACCCGTCGCATCTTGTGCTTGAACAATCCAAGATTTTTTCTTGAAAGCCCAATCTTATAACAACGTGTAACTGTTTGGTCCGGCGGTATCACTGAACTTTACTTTTTCGAAAGTGAGGCTGGAGCAATAGTTATGGATTATCAATTGCGCTATCGCGAGACAATTAATGACTTTTTAGGCCGGAATTGGATGGTATTGATCTGGGCAACGTTTACTTTTCGCCAGACGACGCTACGTGTGACACATAAAATGATCGATAGTTTCTTTTAAGGGAAAAGTTTCCGGACCGTGTTATCTGTCGAAGAGGTGATGGTAGTTGCTGACTAAGATCTTGTGTTTTAACACCTTGCGACTTCTTCCTTTGCGGCTACGTGAAATATAAGTTCTACGTCAACGTCGATTCAAGACCTCAAACATGGCATACGTGAAGCTTTTAAGGGCATACAGCAACCACTTTGCGATTTGGTGGTTTAAAGTTTCCTAAAAAGGACCGGACCGTAACTTGGTGTCAACCTGAAAAACTAACCGATGTATGTTCGTACCAGTTACTAGAAAGGGGGATCGGTAAAATTCCTATTGATTAGATTTCCAGCCAGGCTACATTGCCCTTTTACTTATGTAATTTACTGACACCAAAAACAACATTCATTCAAGGAGTATTGCCAAATATCCCAATCAGTCATAAGTGACTGAATGAGCGATCTATCCCCGTCGCAACATACTTAGATGTCTACGTTCTGAATCACACTATTTACACAATGAAGTCGAAGAACGTAATGAAGCAACACTTTTGACCGGACCTTTTCGAATGCCTATCATTCCGTTCGATACTCCCTTTCAATTCAAGCGACGGCAGTTCTCTGTTCGATTAGCGTTTGTAATCAATTTCCTGCAAGAAATAATACTAGTTGTCAACTAGAATCCAACTAGTTTACACTTTTACACCAACTAGTTCACCTTCCATATATTTTCCATGTAAGCAACTGGTATTTTTAACACGGATTCATACTAGTTGTATACTTTTAGGCATGTTGAATTCCTATTTCATCAAAAAAAAAATTAAAAAATTAAAAAATAAATAAAATAAAAATGAGCTTGCCTGCTGCGAGAATCGCACCGGGACCACTTACCACAGTAAAGGTCTCCAACCACAAGCTTGTCGTGGTGTTCTAGAGAGTAAAGAAAGTAAAGAAATCAGCGCTCTCGGCCGTGCCGTACTAAAAACAGAAACAACATACGAATGACGGAGAGGTAAAAATTTCTGGTTCACCAAAAATTAAAAAGATAATTCAGAAAAGATTTCGCCTCTATAGGCACTCCTAGCAAGAGTTTAAAGCACTACAGCGATAACCTCTACCCACTAGGCTATGTTGACGATATTACGACCAGCGTCATTTTGCGCAATTCAGAGCAGAGAATGAAACTTAGCCGATATAATAAGAAACAAGGGTGGTGGATATTATTATTTCCCCGTTACTGGTTGACTTCTTTACAAGTAACGAACTGGTATAATTTTATCTTCAAAACACTAGTATTTAACTAGAATTTTTGCATACTGGTTGGGTTTCCCCTGCGGGGTATCAACAAGGCTCAGGGTAAATCTTGGGAGCTGTGTGGTCTACATTTAGATACGGATTGCTTCGCATATGGACAATTGTAAGTTGCATATTCTAGGGCTGCCAGACCAGTTAACCTTTTCGTTGGCGTGGCTGATGGTAAAATTAGGAATGTACCGTATTTCTTATTTGTCAAAAATGTTATCGGAGAAGAGTTGAGTTCGCTTCCTTCATGTGTTCAACTGTTCAAAGATAATTCGTTTTTTTTTTTTTAAATATACTTTAGCTAAGCAAACCTTGCGATTTCTTATGTAGGAATAACAAACGAGTTTTCAGTATGGTTTTGCATAGAGGGAAGTACTTAAGCGAGAGTAAAAGGTGACATACACGCAAATATATTGAATGTCTATATAAGGAGTTGGCATAATTCTTACTGCTCCACATAAATATGTATAGTGTGCGCTGAGCTTATTAGACTGAATTTATTACATAAATTTATATTTAAATGATTTATGATAATTTATACCGATATGATCAGAAAAACGAACTCAGCTTGGTATTATATAATACATTAGAATCCACAAACATGCATTGGCAACGCAAATCCTAGATATCTGAGGACTATATTACATAGCTCTCATTCAACCGATTTATTTAGAAATATGCTTTTAGGGAAAAAATCTGTCGAAAGAGAATATATATAAATGTTGACCCATAAACTCATGGAAATCGATTTATGCTGTTTGTAGTTAATATCAAATTCGGATAATGAATACAAAGCACAGAAGGCCTGCCGGCCGAGCTATTCGAATACGGCGTTTAAAAACTGTCGAAGTAATTACATGTATCAGCCTCTTTGGAGAATGTGGTCGGCAGAAAATAAAGGCGAATGATTGCAAACAGAGCGCGCTTTGTCGAAACCATAAAAGAGGAGACTCCACGGTCTGCGCCACTCACCGGGGGGGTTAGCCTACTTAGTATCACATATAAGGATTTATTGTACAAAAGACTAAAGATCGCCGTCAGCAAAGTCATTGTCTCTACGGTGATATGTTTGACGTTAAGCAGCACTACAAGCTCTGTCAGAATTGGCAAGGTCCTATCCGAGTCGTTCGGTGCTAAACGAGGTTTCAGACAAGGTGACTCCTTATCTTGTGACTTCTTAATTTTGTTTTTCTTTTTTACGATGCACTCGGCGTTACCCACCTCAAGCTCAATCGATCGAGGGTTCGTCTGGTTCAACTTCTCGCTGCAGAGTTTGACCGTTGGCTTTAAAAAAAATATTATATAATAAGTAACAAGATTTTACCGTCATTTTGATGACCTTTCCGAAAGTTAGCAACTTTTAGAAAAATATTTCTTTTTTAAGAATTTGGCTTCACTATTAAATTGAACTAAGGAAAGAAGAAATTAGTGGCGAGCTGTTCGAGACTGTTTTATATTCTGCTCAGAAGAAGGTATACGAGGTATGCTCAAAAAGTATCGCGAATTTTGAATTTTCGCGGGTTACGTATAATCGAATTTCGCTTTTTTTCTGGCATTATGTTGGTACTCATGTCTGTCACTTATGCCGACCACGATAACGCCTCTGCTCACACATAGTTGCTTGTGCGCAACTTTTTGGCCAAAAACAATGCACCAATGATGCCGCAGCCACTGTATTCATCAGATCTGCCCCCCTGTGACTTTTTCTTGTTCCCTAAACTGAAGAGACCCATGGAAGGACGACGTTACGCTACGATTGACGAGATAAAGACGGCATCGAAGGAGGAGCTGAACTAGATAAAAAAAATGATATTTTGAAGTGCTTCGAAGATTGGAAAAACCGTTGGCACAAGGGATTACTTTGAAGGGGATAAAATAGATATTCATAAATAAATAAATAATTTTTGAAACAACACAAAATTCGCGATATTTTTTGAACATACCTCGTACTTTACTTTCTCTAAAAATTATATGCTGCAAGTTTATATGTGTATATATGTGTGTATAAATAATTTATATGTTTAATAATAAATATCACTATAATTCCCACACATTATTATTTTAAATAACAAAAATAACGGTAGTAGTTCGTGGGAGTACCAATAGTTCAACAGAAACAGAATTGGCAGCAACAAAACCTGAAAACCGAATGATAAATGCAAATCGCAGCGCATGAACCATTTCCTTTATATTATTGTAGTTTTTGTACTCAATAATTATTTTTTCTTTTTCTATATATTCACACTCATAATTTTCCGAACACTGACAACCACTTATAATTATGCACAACATACATATGTATGTATGTATGTATGTATGTATGTATGTATGTATGAAGACTTCTTTGTCACATAAATAAGCATAGACATACATATATACATACATACTCGTATATTTATAAATGTTAAAAATAGTTTTATCGCATAAATAGCAAAATGTCTTACAGATCTTTAGCGTGATCGCTGAAACAAACATACAAACACATCTGTATATATGTATAATATATAAAGATGCATAGGTGCGTGTGAAGAAAGCACACATAAGACAATAATTCAGTGCCCTCACTTCATGTGATGCTGAAAATGTCGCCTTGCTTTGTTGTTGCTGCATGGAAGCTGTAAGAAAATGTGTGAAAATGTATGAAAATACGGAGAGTGAAGACATTGCCGGCCTGCCTGAGAGTGTATATCCATTTTATGAATCATTTTTATGAGTTTTGGAGACAATGTTTCCTTGTTGTTTTACTTTTGAGGGCGGCGGCAGGCTGCCGATCAAGTGGATGTGTATAGGTCTGATTGTATTTATGTACACGTATGTACCTTAAATATATGCCATTTGAAAGAACTAACGTTAAGTTGTGGAAAATCTAGAGACAGCGTAAATCTTTAGTCTTTCCTCGGCCGTGATTTAGTAAAGTTGTGCGTAAGTAAAAAAGTGAAATGGGAAAATGGAAATTTAATTTGCATATCCTGGTGAAAAGCAGAAAAAATTGTTATATATTCTATAGAAACGGAAGTGAAAATTGAGTGAAATTTAATGAAAATAATTCAGAAATAATTGAATGATTTTAAAAATAAAATATATATTAATTTGCTCTGTGTTAAAAAAAAATAAAAAATAAAAATAAAAATATAAAAAAAAATTAATATAAAAATATAATTCTTGATTAAATATACGCAAGTGTCCATACATACATACATACATACATACTATCTACTCTTTATTCCCCTTTCAATTCAGTGACAGCTATTTTTAACGCTCACAGTTTCAAGTGATTAAAGTGATTTTACTTTTAACCGTGTGTATGTGTTTGTGAAAGTTTCATTTTATTTTTAATTTTCCCTTTTAACCAAATTCAAGGTGTCGCCAAAATTTCTAGTGTATGACAATGTTTTAACACCGTTAATAAGCATATTTTTAAGTGTATTTTGCTGAGTGAATTTTTGGTGATTTTTACTGTGTTAAACTTTGTGGATTTGCATAAGCGCAAAGGATTAGCAGTATGGCAGCGCGCTGTCAGCTTTATTGGTTAGCGCTCGTCGCCTTAGTAAGTGGTAAGTGATCGCAGAAGTTTTCACGCCAAGTGAAGTGTGCCAATCAATGGAATGTGTGTGGGGAAGCGTTAGTATATTAAATTTAAAATTTGACTGAAAGAACGAGGTGGCCACTGCTTCCAAGAAAGCAGGTGATTCATGTCTGCAGTTGGGGCTAGTAAAAAGTAATCTATTATTTTTGCAATAAATGGTTTTTGTGATCTGTGTTTCGGTAACATTTTTTTGATTTTCAAAATAATATCTCTTATCGGAAAATCCGTTAGTTTTGTTACTGTAAATGTCAATCATCGATTTTGTTCCGGTAATTTTGATGATTACCAAGAACTAAGTATTGTGCAAAACAAATAATGGATCCACTTTAAAACACAAAGAAACTCGATAGGTGCCAAATGGATTAACGAGAAAAAATCTTATGGAACGAACTTCCTTCATCTGCGAGTCGCTGCTGAATCTTACCAAAATTGATCTTTTTTGAAGCGGATGGTGAGTGGTGATGAAAAGTGGATCGCTTACAGAAACGTCAAATGCATCAAGGCCACACTTCACCTGATCCTCTCAACGAAGTGGAGGTCTTTCTCTGCCTGAGCGTTTACCAGCGATCACTGCATCAAAACCTTTCAAAGCTGAAGTGCTTACATCCATTCGGACGACGTAGGCGAGGCGCTAATTCGGTGACTGTTTGTTTGTTGAGACCAATAATGTCGATATCTTCGCCGTACCCCAGCAGCTGTATACTCTTATAAAAGATTGTTCCTTCTCTATTCAGCTCTGCAGCTCGTATTATTTTCTCCAGCATCAAATTGAAGAGATCACACGATAAAGAGTCACCCTGTCTGAAACCTCTTTTGGTATCGAAAGGCTCGGAGAGGGCCTTTCCGATTCTGATGGAGCTTATAGTGTTGCTGAAGGTGAGTTTACATAGCTGTGTAAGTTTGGCAAGGATACAAAATTCAGATATAGTGGCGTAGAGGCAGCTGCTGTTCGAGATTCGACGCATGGAGAATATCTGGTTAATGGTAGACTTACCAGATCTAAAGCCACATTGATAAGATCCAATCGGTTTGTTGACAGTGGATTTTTGTCTTTCACACAATACGCTCGACAGGACCTTTTAGGCGATATTAAGGAGGCTTATTCCACTATAGTTGGCACAGACTGTAGGGTCCCCTTTTTTATGTATTGGGCAGAGCACACTGGCATGTTTCCAATACACCATATTTTGGAAAGAACCTGTTGTATGCATCTGCTCAGTTCTTTACCGCTGTGTTTGAATAGCTCGGCCGGTAATCCATCGATCCCTGTCACTTTGTCGTTCTTTAAGCAGGCGATTGCCATTCGGACTTCTTCATAGTCCGGTAACGGATCAACTTTTCCATCGTCAACAATTGGAGTTTTAGGTTCACCCTCTTCGGGTGTCTCATTTTCACTGACATTTAGCAGGCTGGAGAAGTGTTCCCTCCATAAATTCAGTATACTCTGGGCATCCGTCACTAGCTCACTCCTCTGGGTGCTACAAGAGATTGCTCTGGTCTTCAACCCGTGGCGGTCGGTAAGGTTTTACTGTGTGTTTGATGTGATTGCCAAGAATCATACACTAAGAGGTTCTACTGCCAAACTATTAATTCTGCCCTTTACTATCAGCAGTTGGAGCGTCTGTAGCAAGAAATCGAGCAGAAGCGCCCAGCTTTGGTGAACAGAAGTAAATTAATTTTTCACCAGGACAACATCGGACCACAAGATTGTGACTCGCCAGAAGATTCAAGAGTTTAGTTGACATTTCTTACGATAGGGTGGGCCTTGCACCAAGTGATTACCATCTAGTCCTGTCTATAGCAAATGATTTGGGCTGGAAGAATTTGCCTCAAAGGAAGCCAGCGAAAATCGATTGTCTCAATATTTATGTTTTAAAGGGAGAACAGTTTCTATGAGTGAGGCAATATGACATTACTTTTGAGATGACAAAAAGTTTTTGAACAAAACGGTAAACATTTGACATAAATTGGAGTCGCTTTGTATCTGTCGAAAACACCAACAGGCAAGATGAGCAAGGACTGAAAAATACGGCAGATTTAGATCTTAACAAGCACGTAGCATCGATCTTTATCATGTTCAATGACCACCTTGCTATGCCATTCAGGCGTTTCTGGACATTCTTCGCGCAATTCACGGCTCAAACTAATCGCAGCAATCGCACAGACTTTTTTGGATTGGAAGCTAACATCACCACTTTTAAAGTGTCGCTCTGCATGACCTTTTAGCCGGCCGGCCAATTCACCATAACCTTCCACGAGTATTCGATGGGTTTTAGTTGCACTATTTTTTCACTTAACAAATTCAGACATCTTGGAATAGGCAAAAACAATGTTGTTGTCAGGAACAGACACAGGACCGTCCACAACTTGTAGGTGGCGTCATCATTTGGGAACGAATTAATGTAGTCCCAAAGTTCTTGAATTTGACGGCCGCGGTAGCCCAGTGGTTAGTATTGCGTTTCCATTCGGTAGGTTCGGGTTCAAGTCCTGGTGTTGTAGTAACACCCAAACACTAGTCAGGTAGAAATCAGTTTCACTACGCTTCCTCTCTACTCACATTTGCACATTTCGAATGCGCCTGCGGGTTCATCTTCCCTTCGTTGCTGCTTCCTATCGTTTTTGTCATTTGATGAGGTTTGTTTGAATCTCGCGCCATCGATTTTCATTTCTTATGTGCGGTGGGATGATGGTTGCTATGATCTCAACCACTGCGTGTGAAATCGTGCGGAATGCGCCTGTGATTCCGAAAGCAATGAGCCATCGCAGTTAATTCCTATTTCTTGGCATATAATGAGGTGTCTCGGGAAATTTTATTCAGATCGGTCTGAAGTTTTATTGTAATAGTTTAGAGTTGTTGTAGAAGAAATTCGACCAAACATTGGTACAAACCAATTGCTGGAATTAATTTAATTTAATTTTGCCTGTATATATTTGATTAATTTGTGTTAATATTAACGCTAAAAGGATTTTAACCTCAGCAGCCTTTAGAGAAATTATTGAGATGTATTTTTTAGAGGTTTTCTTTAAACTTGCCGTGCGCTGGGGATGACATAAAAAATTTTTATTTAAATATATGAACTTTAAAACTAATTTTTTACAATTTTATATTTTTTACAACATTATATGTATGTTTTTCTGGCCAGTAATCAAACCCCCCACATGGTAGGTAATACGAATTGCTAGCCACCCTACGATAATGAAGAAGAATAATAAACAGAAAAAAAATAGTCAACTCATATTCATACAAAATTTCCAAAAGTGCAATGACGCACTTTCTTTTTTCGCAGAAATCTTAGTTCATAAAATTTTAAATTGAATATTTTCTCAGTTGTCTTTGACTTCGCAGAAATAAATTTGACGAAAAATTTTAATAAAACGCAAACATTTTTGCTCATCAGAAATGACATCATTCATGGCACTCAACTTTAATTTAATTTTATAGTTTTTATCTTCAGAGCTACAAGTATTTCAAATTTATTTTTATTTTTTAGTTTTTTTTTTTAATTTTTTTTTTAATTAAACTAAAATTAGCTTTTTATTTTTTGGTACATTTATTTAATGAAAAAAGAAGGAAATTTTATGTTACGAAGAAAAGCAGCAAGGAAATAAAATTGTCAGATACTCGTACCTACATACATACATACATATGCACGCCGGCCGGCCAGCAGCTAACTAAGCAGATATATAATATATGTACATTCTTCCGTCATTTCCCTTAATTTTTTTTTTATTTTTTTTTCAACGACAGAGATTAAATACAATAATTTACAAATAAACGAGCATAAATCAAAAAGAAAATTGGCTATAGAAAATGTGCATTAATACATATGTACAGGTACACGCATATATATATATATATATATATATATATATTTATGTATATATAATTGAGCACCACTGCTCTAATGGGCCCAGCGTGTTATGTGTGTTTGATTGTGCCGAGTGTTTAGTTGTCGCTTTATTTTTGAACGTTTCTCTTTGTCATTATTGTTTATTTCTTTGAAATTATTTGTTAATGCTTTTAAAAATCAACATAAATCTATTAAGTACATATTTTTATTTTTTATTATTTTTTGTTATTATTTTTATGTGTTTTTTTTTTATTCTCTTCTAAATTTAAGTGTCACTGGCGCGTCATGAGGATTGTGGAAATGCGCCCCATGCTGAACACTCCTCGGTACAGATTGTCGATGAAGAGTATGTGGTTCGTGCCATTTACACTTGCAAGGAAGGTTATGAGTTGAGAGGTGCCGCGGAATTGATTTGCGATATTGAGAACGATCTTTGGGATGTCGAACCGCCGATTTGTGTTAAAGGTAGGTAAATTGAAAAAAATTATATGAACAAATTAGGTCTTCAGCTCACTAGAAACTTATAAAAAAATTAACAGTATGGTTGGAAAAAGAACTATGAAAAAATTATATTTTTTATGCAGAAATATAATATATATATATATATAAATATAATGGGCGCTCTATAATCGCTAAAGCAAAAGTTTGGTCGAGCTCATTCTCCATTTTGTGGTGAGTGTGTTGATGTTTTTCCGCCTCCGAACGACCGATGGATTTTTATCAGGAGTATTTTATTTCACATTAAAAATAAATTCTGATGGCTGAATATTTGCTGCCAGAGTAGAAAAATTATCTTATTATTTATTTATTTATTTTTATTATTTTTTATAATATTTGGAAGCTGGCCGGACTGCGACTGGAAGCTAGGCATTCTAAATGATAATACGCACCGCTAGCCACACGGCTATAGCAATGTTCATAGTAAATACAGAGTTTATCCAATAAGAGATAAATTACTAAATTTTTGGACAAATATAGAATAGTATGTTTATTTCAGCCTAAAGAGGAAGATATGTCATTAATATTGGAAAGCAACCATATCCTCTTTATTAAATTATCCATCACCAAATCTCACAGTGTCTGCTGTATTAAGGGCATAGAGCTTCACGAATTCATTCTTTGAGGTCTTGAATCGACGTTGACCTGATGGCGTGGAACCTATCCTTCACATTGCGCCAAAGGAAGAAGTCGCAAGGTGTTAAACTCAAGATCTCGATGACCATTTGCGATTATCTCTTCGAGAGATAACACGGCTCGGAAACTTTTCACTTAAGAGATCGATGGTTTCATTGCTTGTGTGACACGTATCACCGTTTTGTTGGAAGTAAACCTTGTCCGAATAAAAATATTCGGCCTGTAAAAATCACTAATCGCCTCGAGATAGCGCAATTCATAATCCATAACTATTGCTCCGACCTCACTTTCAAAAAAGTACAGTTCAATGATACCGCCAGATCATAATCCGCACAGTTACACGTTGACATTGGATTGGGTTTTCAACAATATATCTTGGATTTTCCAAGCACCAGATGTGACAATTTTGCTTATTGACGTAGCCAGCGAGGTAAAAAGGGACCCCGTCTGGATCTTCGATGATATTCCGGATCATTTTCATGCATTTCAATGACCCAATCAGCAAAGAAACGACTGTGTTGATGATCGACCGTGCGGAGTTTTTGTATTAACTGAAGCCTGGAGACCCAATATAGTTTATACAGTTTAATGATGTTGGTGGAATGCCCAATTCCAAAGAACGACGAGGAGTGGGCAAACCTTGGCATTTTTTCCACACTTTGGGCTACAGCGGCAATTTTCCCAGTTGTTCTTGAGTGAAGTAATATAGTCACAGAGGAGAAATGAATTGCCTGCTGGCACGTAAATTCGGAAGAAGTTCTTTTTAAATCCACCAAGTCCTGTTAAAATCTTCAAATCAAAAGTACTAGGCATAGAAAAAGATCTGCAGAGCTCCGATAAATAATTTCGGGAGTGTATATAAAGCAACCATTTAATCAGGATTTTCTAGTGAGGTATGGTAAGCTCTTGGTTGAACTGGTTACCCGGCGGGTCTCATAGCGTTATCCCAGAGTCTTTCCTGCTGATGTAGCAAAATTACTCTAATCTGCTTTATCAGTATTACTCTTAAGCTCTGATGAAAAAGCTTAGTTTTTTATGGTTCTAAGTCTCTGATTCGAAGGGTTACCAAATAATTACTGCTCACCCTGAATGAGATAACATCCGCACAGGCGGTGTTAGCATGGCAGCTTCTCCTTCCACTCTGTTCGGCAATCCATTAACCGCTAGGATCTAGAGCAGATAACATCCCTTGTCATCTTGTCTAATTTTTATGAAAAAGTCTTGTGTTATTTGGAAAAAATTTAAGCCCGCTAGTTGGTCCACTTCACTCATTCATAATCTGGGTTACTGAATATTGGAAAATGTTCGATAATGGAAAAGCTGACGGGATTATCACTTGACTTTACTTCACCACTTGGAATGATCGAGAAAGAGCTTCAATTAAAGTTTGAACAAATTGCTCGGTTTAGCCCGAAAGTTTGAATTTATGACCATACAATCATCAGTCTATATTTAGAGTACTTGGAATCCACTCCGACCAATGAACTGACAATTGAGTAAGAAACTCCAGAACAGCGAAGCGTTATTGCATATTAGAACCTAATCTATTCTTGCAGGTTTATGTGGATGATCTCATATATATCCGGTTTCAATAATAAGTACTGTCGCCTTTCCTTTCAGGTGAGCTTTCAAACGAGGTCATCACCGCTGCCAATAATGAACGCGCTAAAAAGAAAAAGCCACAGAATATAATTGAAGACACCCACATCTCAGCCGAGATGGCTGCCAAACTGGATATGTCTTGTGTGCAGGCTAAAGTTGCAGCGCCAGATGTGAGACATGGTTATGTAAAGAAATACGATCGCCGACGTAAGGGAGAACATATTTTCCTCGTGGCATTGTATGCCTGTAATGATAACTTTGAGCTGGAGGACGCTGAAATAGCCACGCTGTACTGCAGTCAACGCAAGTGGGTTGGTGAGCTGCCAACATGTGTGGCGTTGGGTGAATACACGGATGCGGATGAAGACGGTGAGTGTCTAAGATTTAGATGAGATTGATTTATGTATACATAAGGAAGAGCTGAGTGCTGTGGTATATAAAAATGTTGACCTCAAAAAAAGAAAAAATAAATAATAATAATTAATGAATCTTTGAAATAAAAAAAGTAAAATTTAGGCTTGAAAATTAATTCAAATGATAGCTTAAATTTGTATACAAAATTCAAATGCAAAAACTAGATCTAAAGAGGTTTTCACACAGGCATCCAATTAGCTAATTAAGAGGCAATTAAGCAAATAAACAAATAATTTTAGCAAAATAAGTCTAATAAATGCATAAATTTATAATGAAACTAAATTAAAATGCATAATTTTGATCAACATTATTAGAAATAATTTTTTAAAACAGAATTAAAAAAAGAAAAAAAAAACAGAGATTTGACTGGAATATGACGAGTGAGCTGATGATATTAGACTTTTAGAAAAAGTTGTTTTACAGCTTCGCAGACTTTAGCCACCTCCCGCCAAACCGGCCGAGGGGCGCGGCTGATGGATAATCGAGAAACCCAACATACCGATGACCAAAAATCGGTGACAGTCCTTACTGCCCTGGAAGGTCGCGGTTACACTTGCCTTTTGCACTAAACAACTCCAGATTAGTTTATCAGCTGCGAAAAAAATACATGGTAAAAAGGAGAAGGAAATTAGTCTATTATTTAAAACACTAAGTAGGTAGGTTCTGATTCAGAAAAGCGCGTCAGAGGAATCAATATTGGAGTTGTTTTAAAATATGCTCCGAAAATGGACAAGTAACCATTCGAGTTTTGACCAATCAGCTTTACATCGCTTTTCTAAAAAAAAAATCGAGTTCAGGGTAGTCCGGACTGGCATTGGTTTTCGATCAGTGGCTTTTTCTATTATTCTCCAGGCGCGCTACTCGATAGGGCTCGTCGTTAAAAAAAAATGCTCGATGCCTATATACTCCAGAGATACCTATGAACAGCCTCTTAGTAATAAGTAAGCCTACGCTAAGGGAAAACCTGACGAAACTACTCTTCACGACACTGTAACATTGGATCAAGGAAGTTTTTGTCACCAAAAATTACACACTAGACGTTTGATGGAATTTTGAGTAAACTTTTAATAATGCTTTACCTGAGATCGTCACAATTATAATGCAAGGAAAGCATATTATTGGAACTTGTGAAATTTCTGTTAGAAAGCAAAAAAGGCGTATCCGTGTGCTGAAGGAATCAATACTTTGATGATCATCCATTTAAACATTCACAAATTCTTTTTAGATATTGTAGTTTGGATGTAAAGTTAGATTAGGTATGGTTAGTCAGAAGTGGCTGATCTTACAAGGCCACACAAACACATTAGCCATGTCCGCTATGATGCAAGACACAAATCTACCATATCGACTGATGTCAATGTCAGTTAACACCCTCGGCGTGGTAAGCATACGCAATCTGAGTGTTTTCGGTTCCAGTTTCGCAAACGCTGAATAGTTCATCAGAAAGCTCGTAGATAGTTAAATCTGTTTTAACAAAAAATTACAACGGAGGTTTTTCTTTCAATAAGTTTTAAGAGTTTTGATTTTGAGATAGAAAGAAGCTTTCTCCCAGGGCTCGCTCAGTTGTTTAAATATCCATTTGTTCAGATTGGTTATCCGAATAAATGTTAACACAGAAACTACACTTCGAAGCGAATAAGCTAAGTGCTACTTTCTTTCATTGACTCTTTTTCCTCCAGTGCTAGTGTGCAGAGTTAATGCTCCTGAAAGAGTCATTCCGCGCCAGCATCGTGGTACAGTAATCAAAGCCACCGGGTATAAATTCGGACACCGCAAGGGCAGTGAAAGTTCCCACACTTGTGCCGAACAGTTAACCAGACTCACTAAGTCTTACAGCGTATTTTCAAAGCAGTAACCACAGGCGCTATAATACACACAATACTAAGCGTCAGGATTGGAATAGTTCGTTTAGTTCAGGTTACTTTTTCTGATCTCTTGAATCATACGAAAACTCCATTTTGTAAGGATAGACTTAACTATAGATAGCTATATAGATCTAATGCACTAGTCCAGGAGAAAAGTATTGACTCCTACCACTGCCAGCCGCCTTGCAGCAGTAGTAAATATCATGGTAGCGATGCATTTTCATCCCTCCGCGATGTTTTGGACTTCCGGAGAGTTTCCTGCTGTAAAGCCAACAAATGCTGGATTCTAGCGCTTTTACTTAAAGTCAGTGGAATCAAGAGTCCAACTATGTTATAACTTTAATCTTAGATAATAAACTTATCTGAAACCGAAATTAATTAAGCTCGCCCGCTGATCAGTACAATATCTGGTTGGTGGTAATAAAAGATGGGTGTACCGAGTCAGAGTCTGATAGCTGGCACTCGATAAAGTAACTTTCAGGGGGCGAACTGGAAAAAGTTCCAAGCAGAAAAAACAGCAATAACACAAGTCGATTATTTGTTAGCATATGAAAAGCTTCCCTTAAACTGATTTGGGTTGCCAACTGTAAAAATATTATTCATTCAGTTTTTGACATTGAAAAGAAAATTTCTTTTGACTTACAATTATCTTCCGTCCAACTGTAGATTACGATGAATATGAACCAGTCGATGGTGAGGACGAGGGGGATGAAGAAGATGCAGCCGAAGAGTCCATTGATAATAATGTAGCACCACCGCCACCACCACCACCAGTAACGGCACAGGTTGAAGAAACCGAACAGGAGATAAGCAACGAAATCGAGCCTGTTGTGCAACAAAGCCATCACGAGGGGAGTGAAAGTGAAGCGCCTACCGCCACTGAAGCCGTGCAGCCAGTTACCGATGTCAATATCGTCGTCGCCCCAACCCAGGATCCATATACGCCGCGCTACCTTGACGACGATTGCGGCGCCGACAAAGGCGGTTGCGAACACAAATGCGAACGTTTGCTCTTCCCTGGCGAAAATGAGCCACGTCTTAAGTGTTCTTGCTTTGACGGCTTCAGTTTGGACCCTAACGATTATGCCAGCTGTCACGGTGAGTGATTTGGAGCGTAATCGTCTTGAGCTCTTTGTATTTCTCGTTTATTTATTTGAATTTATTTATTTTTGTTGATTTTTGTAGACATCGACGAATGCGAGCTGAATAATGGCGGTTGCGAACAGATTTGCAACAACTTACCCGGCTCTTATCAGTGCGCCTGTGAGCCGGGTCTACAAATTGATACACTGAATAGCAAAACTTGCGTTGGTGGGTATTAGCATGACCGTTATATGATACGTTTTTGTTATTGTCCTATTCTATTATCATTCATTTCATACACCTGCATGCCACCTCATCTATTCTCACATATACCACCATATGTCTTTGCAAACAATCGAAACGAACACCCACACACACACACACACACCTCAAACTGTGACCCAGACATCAACGAGTGTCTCTTACGCAACGGACATGGACCTTGCCAGGACACCTGCCACAACGAGTGGCGTGGCTACAGCTGCTCTTGCGAGAGTCTAGCCGGCACGCAATTATCTCAGGATAATCACACGTGTGTGGACGCAGGCGAGTGTGCCAATGCTAATGGTGGTTGCTCCCACCAGTGTCTCTCCTCGATGGGCCGCATCTATTGCCTGTGTCCAAGCGGTTGGCTGATGTCGGCAGATGGCAAGAACTGTGCAGGTGATGATAGAAAGTTGATCCGAGAATTGTACAAAAACAATTCAACGAAAATAATTTCACGAATTCATACTCAAAGCTTAACGTATATACCGCTAATCACTCTCTAATTGTCTTTAATTGCTCACCAATGTTGTACTTTGAGCTCATTAAATCTTTCTCTTGCAGATATTGATGAATGCGCGCAACCAGAGTTGTCCGCGCAATGTGCCGGTGGCTGCGAGAATACACCGGGCTCTTATCGCTGCATACCAGCGCTTAATACGCCAGACGAAGCAACAGAGGAGCACACAGACGAAGAGAATCCCACTGACGAAGATGAGCAAGTAGCGAAGGAAGACCAAACTAAAACTTCAGGCGCCGATGAAGACGAAGCCGAAGAGGAGGACGATCAGGGAATTAAACGTATCTCGGAGAGTGCGCCCATCTGCCCCACCGGTTATCGGCCAGGCGGTGAGAACTCTGACAGCTGTGTCGACATCGACGAATGCGCTGAGGGCACAACTGGCTGCGAACATTGCTTAAACACCGAGGGCTCCTACGAGTGCACTTGTCCCGGTGGTTATGATCTAGCCGAAGATGAGCTTAGCTGTGTTGATATCAACGAATGTGAAGTTATTGTAGAAAACGAAGATGATGGCGATGCTGCCGCCAGTAAGATTTGCTCGGGTGGTTGTGAGAATACTTTGGGTTCTTTCATTTGTACTTGTGGACCTAATGAGCATCTGCTAGACGATCGCCGTACTTGTGCGGCCGACACTTGCCAAGACTTAAACAACCCACAACTGAATAAGTCCCGTTGCGCCCATCAGTGTGTCGATTTGCCGAGTGGTGTTTACGAATGCGTCTGCCCGGAGGGTTACCACTTGAGTGAGGACTTGCACAATTGTGAAGTAGTGGAAAATGTGTGCACTGCGTTGGGTGGTTATGAACAGTGCGCACCCGGTTCGTGTGTGCCGAATGAGAATAACAGCGCATTTAGTTGTGAGTGCCCAGCGGGTTATGTGAACGAGGCGCATCACTGCACAGACATCGACGAATGTCAGACTGGCGTGCACGAGTGCTCGCACGAGTGTTTCAACAATTTGGGTTCGTATCAATGTGGCTGTCCAGTGGGTTTCGTTTTCGTAGAGGGCAGCAACGAGCACGTCTGCACCGATGTCGATGAGTGTGCGGCAACGCCGGATGCGTGCGGTATATTGAACTGTGTGAATAAACCCGGCGGTTTTGTGTGTCTCTGCGCGGATGGCACACCTCCAGACGCCGCTACTGGAGCATGCCATATTGCGGATCCTTGTGAGGCACACCAGTGCTCACACCAATGTATTGCGGAAGGTGTAGGCTTCAAGTGTATCTGTCCGGAGGGCATGTTGCTCGCCGACGATGGGCTGCAGTGCGTATACAAGGACGTTTGTGGTGACCAAAATAATGGTTGCGAGCATATTTGCAAATCGGAGGAGGATGGCGCTTGCGCATGCCAGAGTGGTTACGAGCTGGCGCCGGATGGCAAGTCGTGCGTGGATGTGAACGAGTGTGAAATCGGCAATGGTGGTTGTCATCAGGTTTGCAAGAATCACGCAGGTGGGTACGATTGCGCCTGTGAGTTGGGCTTTGAGTTTCTTGATGGGCCGCTCAAATCCTTCTGCTTCGATGTCGATGAGTGCGCTTTGGGCTTGCATAACTGCGGCGAGGGGTTGCTTTGCGAGAATCTCAATGGATCGTACACATGTATATGTCCGCCAGGTTTTGCTTTGGGCTTACCGCCAGTATATGATTCGCTTCGTACACTACCCTCTACCATACAGCCAGCTGCCAAGCACTCATTTTTCACTTACCCATCACTATCATCGCTCATTTTAGCTTCGCCGTCCATTTCAAACATACACAATCCATCACCTTCATGCTTAGACATCGACGAATGCTCCATCTCAAATGGCAACTGCTCGCATTTCTGCTTGAATTTTCCCGGCAGCTTCCAGTGCTCCTGTCCACCGGGCTTAGCTCTGAGTCCGGTAGACAATCGAACTTGCTTGTTACTGAACGCTTGCTTGCATAACAACGGCGGCTGCACGCACACGTGTGACTTTGTGCCAACGATGGGCCCGCGTTGCCGCTGTCCGCCGGGTTATGCGATTGCGCGTGATGGCCGCACCTGCCTCGACATTGATGAGTGTGCCACGTCAAATGCTGGTTGCGGCCAACGCTGTTACAATACACCCGGTAGCTTTGAGTGTGCTTGCGACGCGGGTTATGAGCTGGTGCCGAATGGGCTCGGCTGTGTTGATATCGACGAATGCGCTAACGGTTTTGGTAACTGTACTTTCATCTGCGTAAATCTTCTAGGTTCATACGAATGTGGCTGTGAGGCTGGCTTCCAACTAGGTGACGATCGGCGCACCTGCATCGATATCGACGAATGCACCTTGGGTCGACATGACTGTTCTCACAGCTGTGTAAATGTGGAGGGCGGATATGAGTGCGTGTGTCCGGCGGGTTATCTGTTGGGCGAGAACAAAGCGACCTGCTTGGATGTAGATGAGTGTGTAGGTGGCGAGCATGGTTGCAGTCATGGCTGCGACAACAAAGCAGGTAGCTATGAGTGCAACTGCCCCACGGACTACACGCTTGCGGCGGATGGTAGAAACTGTATTGCAGCAACCGCGCCGGCAGTTGAAATTGATGTGCGTGCGAATGAACTGGACTCCGAGGATACAGCGCTTATAGATGTTTGCTTGCGTGATAATGGCGGTTGCTCACATATTTGTAATCCCGAAACTGGCTGCTCGTGTCCCAGTGGTCTTGAGCTATCCGTCGACGGTAAAACCTGCGTGGATATCGACGAATGCGCCTACAATAATGGCGGTTGTGCGCGCACATGTCACAACACGGTGGGTGGCTTCCAATGCCTTTGTTCAGACGGTGTGACCGAGGATAATGGTGAAAGTTGTGTCACCGTCTGTCCGCCTGGTTTTACAGTGAGCACATATGATCCCACTAAGTGTGTGGATATTGACGAATGTGCAACGCCTGGTCTGTGTCAGTACAACTGCTTAAATAGTAACGGCTCGTATGAATGTATCTGTCCGCAAGGTTTTGCCTTACGCAACGGACGCGACTGTGAGGACATCAACGAATGCTTGCTGAATAATGGCGGTTGTGTGGGCGGTGAGTGCATCAATCATATCGGTAGTTTTCAGTGTAAGTGTCCGCTGGGTCTACGCTTGGCGAGCGATCGTCGCACCTGCGAACGCGTGCCCGAGTTGCGTGACCAATGTGCGCCCTTCGCTGGCCTGGCTAACGGTGACTTCCATTGCACGAAGTATCGTCACAAGAAGAAGCATTTCTATAATACACGCTGCAAGGTGTGGTGTAATGAGGGCTATCGACTACAAGGTCCCACACATCGCTTCTGTAATGCCTCCGGCAACTGGGATGACTTCGAAAGTCAATGTGTGCGTAAGTAACGGTAAAGAAAATTTCGAAAAGGAAATTTCTATAAGTTTTTTTTTTTTAAATTTCGCAGCTACCGCTTGTCCACGTCTACCGGCACCACTTAACGGCGAGCTAGTACCTGCCCCCTGTACAACTGGAAAGGTATCTGCCGGCGGAAGTTGTCGGTTACGTTGTCTACCCGGTTATGTGCCACTAGGCTTAAGTGTTGGCATATGCACTGCGGAACTGACCTGGTCCAACAACGCTTCCTTTGAATGTGCGCCTGTCGCGAGATCTCCCTTACTACCCGAACTGCCGGTACTACCTCGTCTGCCTGGGCTCGGTTCACGTGCATTGCCACCCAACAGTGGTTTCCATGGCTTCTTTGATAGACCAATAGTGCCACAGATGCGACCACAACCTGGTTTTGGCGTTTCTGTAGCTGCACGCCGTCCCTTCATTAAATGTCCGCGCAATACCACAGTTTTCCTCGCAGAAGGCGCTCGTACTGCACACATTATACTACAAAAACCGATTACCAATATGGATTACCGTTACATAGAGTCTTCCCCAGCTTGGACGCATAATATGCAAGCTCATTTGGGCGCTGGTCGACATGTTGTTACTTTCCGCGGCCAAGATCCGATTTCAGGCAGACGTGCAAGATGTCAGACGATTATTTATGTAGAGCACGCCGTCTCGCCGCACGTGAATTTCTGTACACGCTCTTTTGAGGTTTCGCTGAGTCCCAATCAGTTGCAACGTTCGGTGGTGTGGGAGGAGCCACGCTTTGAGAGCACCTTGGGGCCGATAAAGAAGCTCTACAAATCGAGGGTAAGTGAATTGCTGCATGGCTGTATGTGATTGGATATCAAATTATCTTCTCTCTTTTGTACCTAATTAGCTTCCTGGCGAACTCTTTAATGCCGGCGTTCATCCCGTCTACTATGAGGCAACTAATGAACAGGGCATAACAGCACGTTGCGAATTCCAAGTCATTGTTAAAGGTAAGTGGAGATGCTGAAGCCAGTAAGTGCTCCAGAAACCGTAAATATTCTCTTATTGCTTTTAGAAGCCGGCGCCTCTTCATCAAAATCATTGCCCAGACTCGACTTGGCTCTCCCTACACCAGCTGCTGTGCCCCAAATACCACCTGCGCCCTTAAGACTGCCACCAGCAGCGCGAGGTATGCGTGCCAAACTACTGCCAGGACACGAGTCTTTTGTTATTTGTCCAGGACGTCAGCCCGTCAAGGTTACGGACTCGCAATCTGTAAGTTATTTCCATCCAGAATGGCTTGTTCGTGTACGCTATGCTTTCTACAAACGCCCTGCATGACTTAATTCAGCCACTGAGGCTTCATAGCCTGCTGCACAGCAAATAGGGCCACACGCTTCTTTTAGCCGCTTCTCCCATGAGATTTTTCGTATTTCATAGCTTTTAATATTTTTTTCCATTTTTTTTTTTTTACAATAAATAGGTGACTTTAGAATTTGGCTGCATTTTGAAGAATGTTCGTCAGAAAGCGACACACCATCGCGCGCAACGTCGTCTGATCACCACAAATTGGTCCGATTTCACTGCCTTCTAATCCAAATTGATGCAGTTCAAAATTATTTTATACTCAAAGTAAAGCCAGATTTTACCAGAGATATGTGTATTTAAATAATTTGTTTTTGTATTTTAATTTTTTTACTTTGTATTTGTAATCATAAATTTTATACTCAATAAAGAGGAATAATTCTTAAAATAATAAATTAAGTTTTTTTTTGTACTTGTGGATTGGATAGATGGGGTCAGCACTATTTCTTTGTTCAAACTGCGAAGATTCTTGTCGGCTGTGGTTTGTTCAGTCATGTCTGAGGTTTTGATATATAACCTAGTGCGTTTCTTCATTCCTCTGAACTGCGGAGGTCCTAATCACCTGAGGCTTCTTCACTCAGATCTACCAAAATAGACAGACAGAGTGTCTGATATTCCGATATATACCCTTGCGCCTGCCTTCTGTCCTATGCTCTGGAAAGATATTTGTCGTCTGAGACTTGATCATGCCTAATAAAGCAGACAGAGAGGCAGAGTGACTTAGCTTTTACACTTTTTAACTACGAAAATCATTATCTCCTGAAGATTGATCACTTGTGGGCTGTAATAAGGTCCAACTCTCTATAGAGCTCGCGCTACTGATACTTGGGTGTATATTTCTTGGCTTTCGGTCCGTTACAGTAAAAAGAAAAATTGTATTGCTTTCTGTGAAGCTGATTACCTAAATGGATTTCCCTGTTGAAAATTCTCTGCTAGGGAAATCTTGCAGTTAGAAGAAACCCCTTCACTACTTAGGTACTATCGAGCGTCCACTCTGCGAATGCAGCAAAACTTCGTGTTTCTACGGAATCCGTTCTATTTAAGTGTAACTTAAACACCTTTTTCCCAAATTAGGGGCGGAAGAATATTGTCTGTTCTATTTAAACCTCCACTTGTTTATTGAGTTGTGCATGAAAATTTAGACATTCGTTATTAGACACGATTATTCGCCGCTACGTCCGAATTTGGTATTCCTGCAAAACTTGTTAGGCGGTCTAAACTGACATTAAGCAGCACCGCTGTCCACCACGACATTCAGCAAAGCTATATGGATGGTTGAAGGACAGTGACCCCGTTAAACGTTTTTCGACCAGGGTTAATGGCCGGTAAGGTGTTATTGTGTGTTTAGTGGTATTGGCAAGTGATCGTCCACTACGAGCTGTTCTTCTAAGGCCAAATTCTCACTTTATAGGTTTATTGTCAGCATTTGGACTGTCTGAGGGAAACAAAAACCCAGCAGCGTTCAGCTCGGGTCGACAGGAGGTGAGTTGTGTTTCATCAAGACGACGAAAGACCACACAAATTGATAGTTACTCGGCAGAGGCTTCGAAAGCTTGTTGGTGTATTCATGGCCATCTGTGCCTGTCAATGGCAAATGATTTGGCTGGTGAAGAATTGGACTTATTTGAGGCGTTTCACACGTTTATTTATCCTAATTTTTTACTTTCGGTTTTTATCATAAAGTGGAACACTTGAGGCAGAAAAAAAGTGATAATAAATAGTAAATATTGTTCCCTCGGAGGAGGATGTGTTGAAACCATTCATTCATATGTCATACTCTGCACAGGAGACTCTGTAGATTATCTCAATAAACCAATTCATGTGGCTGTATACCGGAGAATTCTTCTATGCGTATGATCTTGCCATCTAATCTGCGAGCACACAATCCAATCGCCTGTCTCTCAGTTGACGGTCGGAGAGACAAGGGCTTCTTTTGCTTCGCTTAAGTATCTCGAAGAAAGGAAACACTTATATAGACTGCCGAAAGACCAAATAATTAGCGGCACTAAGCGAGAGAGAACTTATTATGTACATAGGTATCACTCAGTGGTGAGCAAGTACCGACTTTAATGGCATACTTGAGCACTAACTTTGCGAATGCGAAAAGTTTAGTCAACTGAGATGTTTTAAACTCATTTTTTAACATGTTTTTAATTTTTTAGTGCGCCAAAGATTTCTCTTATATAAATGTATGTATATATTTTTCAAATAATAGAGGCTTTCAGTTTTTTTGTGCTTCAACTGCAACGGATGCTTTTGAAAACCTTTTTCTCGAAAACTCTTAGCGCCGTCTCATCAGGTATACTTTTTTTCAGTTCAAATAAGTTTTTGTTATAAGTTCAAGAATAATAATAAATTATTTTTAACTGAAAGCATATAATATATGTATATAAACATGTGTAATTTATTTAACCAGAGGATAGAAGGTTTATTTAAAAATTAAATAAAATATTTTAATGAATATGTTACGGACATCCTTTAGTTAATTTTAACTAACTTTCTTTTCCCTTTTCCAATTCCAGATATTAATTAATTTGTTTTAAACACATTATGGTTTTTTATGTATGTAAAGCTTGTTTGTTTAGTTAACTCTTAATGCCTAAAGTTATGACAACGTGCTTTTGATGATTTACAAAGCACACAATCGAGCATAGTTTTAGGCGCTGCAAGATTTGTTTCAATATAAAGAATAGGAAATTAATTAATTAGCTTCGTTTATTAAGCTCAGCATATATGTACATACATACACATTAGTATACAAATGTAAATATTTTGGAAAATTGCATCAGCTTTTTTTTAGTAAACAAAATGTAAACAAAATATACAAACTATTTATTAATTGAGACTCTGAGACGCTGATTAATGATAAGGCACGTCTTGAACTAAGTAAGAGTATTATGATAGAGGGTTATCCATTTTCCCGCTTTATAAATATAACTTAAATAAAATGCATTTAAAATATTTATTTTTTATTAAATTATTATTTTTTTATTAAAAAAAAAAAAGAAATTTATTTCTAAAAATCGCCGTCCACTGCTTGTTCTTCAAGCACACAATCGACGTTTGTACGGTATTGCGAATGGTTAGCTGGCTACAGTTGTGGTGTGGGCTAGGCCTAATATGTATGTAGGTGCAAGTACGAGTGCAAAATACGCCAGAAGAGAGTCCCTCTCATTTGGGGACGAGCAAAACGATGATGCGCAGGCCTTACAAATATCTGTAATCGATCCAGTCTCTGCAAAATTCTTCAAAATTTTACCAATTGCTTGAGTAGTTGGACGACTATGGTCACCACATTATTTACTTAAATCACGAGTTGCGGGGTTTTATGCCCCAAAAATGGATACGCCTTTTTTAGAATTCCGTACATATTTTGAGTTTCGATGTTAGTCTGTTTCATCGAGAAGTCAATGCACTTTTGGTCGGAAACATGGGTCCAATACATGCACCTGAAAAAATTGAATATGGTTTCTCCTATTGAAGTTTGGATTGAATTTCTTCTGAATGATTTCTTGAGCTAGTATTCGAAAATAAAAGAAAAAAAAACCGTTATAAGAAATCATTAAATATAATTAAGTACTTCATTCGACACTCTCTAAATAGTTCTATGCCACATGAAACCAAAATGTGTTTTTTCTATTGCTTAAATAAATTATTTTATATACCAAACTAAAGAATTTAATCTTCAAATAAATCGTTAAAAATCAGCTACGTGCTCTGAGAAACGTACACCAGTAAACGAGTATGTGAGGAGACCTTAATTTAAGTATTTTCTGTATTTGAATTTTAGAAGGTTTTTCTTGTTTTCTTTATTATTTATTTCATGATTCGAAATAACTCTAAAAGTTGCATCATTTATTATGGGTGTTCATATAATTACATAATCACATACATATATATAAATATTTATACATAACTCATATATAAAAATGAACTGATGTTCGTTTGTTCCGCTAAAACTCGAGAATGGCTGGACCAATTAGGGTTTACCTGGAAGTATTTATGGAAGTTCACGAAAGGTTTGAAAGTCTAGAAGCATCCGGGATGTGGATTAGACACCAACCTGTTGGAGATTAATGATATTTATTATTCGATTTATTTTAGCTTCTGTTCCTTCCAGACCCAGTTACCGATTTTCATGAAAAAAAATTTATTAAAATTGAATTTGATTGGATTTTTGACAGAAGGTATCTTTAAGACTGACTAGAAAAATGTATTTAGTACTTTTCTTTTCCGGAAATAAATTAACAGATCGATGGAAACTGGAACTACAATATGTTATTGCGGCTGCAGGTTGCTTGGAGTTTATCCATAAGGTTACAAGTTTTACTTATGTATATATATATATTTATATATATATATATATATATATATGTTAAATTCTATTAAGCGTATGTTAGGTAAGAGTGTGGCGTCTGGCATACGGCGAGGTACCATATTCAGATCACCCTGGAGACTTTGTGAATCGAAAAAGCGATTCATCACTGACTAAATCCACCTCCATGAATTTGTTAACAATTGTTCAGATGCTGTCAGGCTTTAAATGCACATATGCTCAGACCTTCATGACAACCTCATGGATAAAACATAAATTCTAAAAAGTTCAGAGAGCCAACACAACATACATACATTTCCTTAATTGAAAATTTATTTAATTAAATATTGGCTTTATTATCTATGAACTTTGCAATCTTCTGGTACCACCATAATTTCATCAGCCTAGAAGTTCTGAAGGCCTTGACCAAATCATTTTCAACGGTTCTACGGTTGGCCCACTTCTGTGCATCAAAAAAGTTTTGCAGAGGCAGAAACAAAAGTTAGTCAAAAGTAAATTAAAATGAAATAAAACATTAAATATTATGGAAATAAAAAAATACACTGAAACGAAATTGAAAATAATACAAGAAAAACAAAGAAAATAATGTAAATACGAAACAATAAGGTAAATTGAATAAATCAAATAAATAAATATAATATTTGAATAGGTATACATTAAAAATTAAAGTGAATAAAAATAGAAGAAAATAAAATAAAATACTTAAAAATAAATAAAAAATCAAAAGAAAATGGAATCGAACCAAATAAATTTAAACAAAAAAAAAATTAAATAACAAAATAGAAACAACATTAAATAATGTTAAATTAAATTAATTTAAACAAAATAAAATGAAACAAAATAAAATAAAGTGAAATAAGATAAAACAAAATAAATGAATAAACTAAATAAAATAAACCTTTTTTTATGAAGAAATAATGCAATAAGAAAATTATAACATTAATTAAAATAATGAAATAAAGTAAAATTGAATTAAATCCAAAATCTTGTAAAAAAACTGAAGTAAAATTAGCAAAGTTAAAAAAAAACATGGCTGAAAAATAAATTAAATAAATATTAAACGAAATTATACAAACTAAGAGAAAGTAAAATAATAAAACCTTATATATAAAAAACAAAAGTAAATAAAATTCCAAATGATCATAATAATAAAGTGATTTAAATAAAATTCAATTAAAAATATTAATTAAATTACACTAAATATATAATAATCACGAAATAACTTTAACAAAATTTTAATTAAAATATATACATAACAAAATCTAAAACTAAAAAAAATATTTTGCTATAAATTAAAGCAAAATTAAATAAATCAGAATCAAATAAAGTGAAATAAAATAAAATAATAAAAAAATAGAAATCTTAAAAAATTTATAAAAAAAATAATTAAATAAGAATATGAAAATAAACGAAATAAAGTAAAATTAGATTAAATTAAAAATATTGTAATAAAAACTGTAGTAAAATTCTCAAAAACGAAAAACCAAGAATAAAAAATAAATTAAATATAAACTAAATATATATAAAAATTATTAATACTAACACAAAGACAAATTTGAAAATTACATTTAACTAAACAAAAGTAAATAAAATAACAAATAATTATAATAATAACGTTAATTAAAAAAAATTGAGTTAAAAGAAGTAAAAAATATTAATTTAAACTAAGTAAAAAGCATAACCAAATTATCCAAATTAACAGAAAGTAAATTTAAAGAAATTATATAATATATAATATTAAACAAAAGTCTATAATATATAATAATAGTACATAAAATAACAAATGATAATAATAATTATAAAGTGTACTAAAATAAAATTAAATTAAAATAATAATAAAAGTTAAATTAGTAAAGTAAGTGTAAAACGTAATTTTAGTAAAGTTAATAAAAAAATGAAGCAAAATATAAATTAATTCAAATAACAACAAAATTATAAGTATTTATAAAAATAAATAATACGAAAGTATTAATAATTAATTTTATATATAAAAAAATAAAGGAAAAGAAAGAAATAACATAAAATACAACTGAACTAAATTTAATGAAATAAAGTGAAACATAATAAAAATTAAGTAAAATGAGTAAAATTTAACAAGCTGTAAGTAAAATAAAATTAAATTAAACATATAAAAAATTAAGCCAAAAAAAAAAAAACAAAATCAAATAAAATGAAGAAAAAAATAAACGAATTAAAATAATATACATATAATAAAGCGAAAGGAAATAAAATAATGAATAATAAAATAATATAAAAAACCAACAATTATGCAGCTGCAATTGAGTTGGAACGCAATGATCTAAAAACAAAGATGCATAATTAAATTTAATATTTAATTTTTTTATCAATTTCAAAATTTAATATTCATTAGTTATTTAAATGTCTTAATCCCTCATGAATTATAATTAAAAACATAGATAATAATTTTATAAATATAAATTTAGAATTTTCCAAAATTTCCCATTACGCGCTGGACTATTAGCGCACACAAACTACGTATACAAATGCGTATGCGCCTCTCAAGACCACCAGCAGAGTTGATTTTTTGCAACGTAATTGTTTTGAATTCCATCAACAACCTGTATTTGTTTTATTGCAAAATTATGCTCTTTTCAAAATATTTATGGGATTTCGGGCATTTAAGTGCTGCTATTGCTGCTGCTGCTGCTGCTGCTGTGATAACAGTTTGCACAACTCACTTGTTCGTCACATGCAGAGCCACCCAAGTAGCTAAACAAACAAATAGACGTCTATTGAAATAGAAAATAACTTTTTGCTAATTTAGTTTTATATTTTGATGTAGAGATTATATTTATTTTTTTTATTTTGGCGGCATTATTGACGATCCGACTGAACGTCGGCGAATAATTAATAATTAATTTTCAATTTTACTCTTCTTTTCGTGAGCTAACACGTTTATAATAGACATAAAAAATGTTTAAGCTGATGAAAAGAACAAAAACTTAACAGATTTGGGCCCAGTTTCTGTAACTTGAAAATAAATTTAGCGCAGCCAGGATAACAGCTTTAGTGCTGCGGGATTTTTTTTTTTTTTGAATAACTAGTAGGTCCTTATTAAAAGTGTTTTTCCACACTTTTAAATAATTTTATTTCAAATATTTTTTTTTTAATTTGCCATCTTCCCACCAACCATTTGTATAACGCTTAGACGCAAACCAAACTGGTCACCGCCATACAAGTACAGACACACACACATATGCATATATGTATATATGGTTGCAATGGCTTGAAACTTGTGATAACCTTTGGCACACTCGTCGGCTGATAACCAGCTCTTGGGCGCAAGCAAAACTTGCCAAGCTCGGTTTCTTGGCAAAATCTATAAAAGCGCGTGCACACTTCGCACAAGACTTTAGTTCTCGTAAGAAGACTTAAGCGCTATTAACTAAAGCCAGCGGATGCTTGCGGCTTAGAAGGAAAAAATAAAAAAAATAAAATAAAAAGCAGCTCACTCGGTGTTACTGTTGCGATAGCAACTTTTCGTTTGTGGAAAAACAACTTTTATTTATATAAATGTGATTTTATTTAATTAGTTGAAAGAAAATAGTGCAAAAATTGTGTGTGTTGTGCAAGAAAAACTAGTATTTGTTAAAAGAAATCAGCATCGAAATGATGTACGATCGTCAAGTCTCATTTGATAAGGTTAGTCAAGTGTCCAGAGGAAAAAAAAAACAAAAAAAATTTTATTAATATAAATATTTATTTTTAATTTCTAATAACTATGAAGCACACAAAGTTACAGTGCAGAATTATAATCAGTTTATCCTTCAAGAAGGTCAAATAATATTGTCCTTTAACACCGTGCCGTGACCGCCGGCAGCCGAGTGGTTGGCATTGCGTACTGCGTTATGGAAGACTAGGGCACGAGTCCTGATACGAGCAGCATACAAAAATTATAGAAAATTAATTTAAATAAAAAATTAAGTTTATTTTTCTAATTGAGGTCGCCCCTCGGCAGGGAATATCAAGCCCTTCAGCTGTTCGTAGGCGGCTTAGTACAAATCTTAGATCCCTCTATTTTTTGGAAAAACATCAAGACGCAAATCCGCAAGTTGGAGGAGAAGTTCAGCCGAAAATCACCTTAGCGGTTAAAGCGCGACAATTATATATTTAACACCGTTAAAAGCATGCATTGGAAGAATATCCTACACTGTAGAAGAAAATAATTAAATCACTATAATCCGCGTTTCTTATGCTGGAAGGCAACTTAGTTGGTTAGGTTAGGTTGAACTGACCGGTTGTTACGCCTCGCAAAGTAGACCTGCTGATTCCTCCTAATGCCCGATGAAGCGGAAGTAGTCGAAATGAAGGCCTCCTTTAGTCCTATGAGCCGTGACGCTTTGGGATATTTAAGCCAGTTCCAGCTAAAGCCCGATCGAAACATAAGAAATGTTCCAACGACTCACCCATGTCTTTCTATCTGCATTTTCTATTACTACTACTTACGCCCAATCTGCTTTCGTAAGATGACAATAGGTTTTGGATCGTCGTTAGGCCAACAACTGTACTGTACTACTTACGCAAAAGAGAAAGCTTTTATCGCACATGATCTTGGTGGTTTTGCAAGCCAATAATGGGTTTCATCTTATTCTGATCCGGCCGCTAGCTTTTTCGAAAATTTCATTATGGTTATGTTCTGGTTGGCACTTTTGGCAAACTCGTAAGCTATTTCGTTACTCATAATGCACTTGTGATCGGTTACCCTCGGCGGCAGCTCTGGACGCTTTGTTAAAAGTCAGAGATTAGGGATCTAACCGCACGCGGGCACACATAAGCCCTAACCAGACTCAATATGCTCGTTCGCGTTTACCAATTAGTCGTTTGCGAAAAGTACGCCCGATTTGATAACTTTTTTAAGTTTCATCATATGTGCTCACCTCCGTGAGGTTGGAGCTCGGGGCATCGTGTAAGAAGTGACATCTCAATTGGCTGTTGGCCAGACTCACGCAAAGGTAGTGCTCCGACACACTGTCGATTCCACCTTACCTAGCTTACGGAGATGATATCCCAGATATAATATAATATAATATAATACACTCATAAGAATGCTATGTTCTCTTTTGCTTAAAGCAAGTAACAATATCGTCTGTCTACTGTCTACACAATAATTTTCCCTCAATAGTTTAGTGGAACGTCCTACGTTGGAAGAGTTCCAAGACTATAAGTGATCCGCTAAGGTCCACTGTTTTAAACAATATTTGAAGGCCCCTTCCTTTACCATTCGCCTCACCAAGGTGATGTTCACTGTGTTTTTAGGCGATAGGCTGTTAATTTCCATTGACTTTCTTTCAGAAATCTGATAGAAAGATTGACCATTTTCTAGTTAGTTTGCTATCGAACGGATTGGAGAGAGGCTTTCGTGGCTCTTATCGTCAATTAGCATAGGTCCGAAGTCACATTGATAAGGTCCAATCGGATTTGTGACGGTGGGCTATAACCTTTCACACAGTTTCTGTGAAAGACCAGTGGTCAGTCACAAATATAATTGACGGAAAAAAAATTAACTTTCCTCTTAAAAGATCTATGGTCACGTTGCTTGTGTGGCACGTAGCGGCGTAAAAAATCATTAATCACCTTTTGATAGAGCAAACCATTTACTTTTCAAAAAGGAAGTTCTAATGACACCGCCGGACCATAAACTGCACCGAACAGACTTTTCAACAATAAATCTTGGGGTTTCCAAGCCTCAAATGCGAGAGTTTTGCCTTTAGACGTAGTCAACGAGGTGGAAACACACTTCTTTTTGGAAGCCCTTTATTTATTCCGGCGACTGCAAAAGCCTTGTAGCTAACAATGCGTACTGTTTAGTTTAAACCCTTGCCCGACCAATATCAAACATTTTAGACAATTTTTTTTAATTAAAAAAAAAAAAAATCATTATTAGGATTGTTGCTCGGCACAGATAGTCAACCCTTCCGAGTGTATTTTTGACGTGAAATAAATGTTTCTCTTAAGGATCAAACACAGGTCCGCAGGTGGATAAGTAAGTATAAATAAACTTACTCACATTCAACATTTATAGGTTTTGATTTCTAATTTAAAGAAAATTTGCTTGGATGGGTGGGAGATTACACTTAGTGGGTAAAAAATTGGAAGCCATCTTGAAAACTTCGAATACCCACAGGTCGAAAGTTCTCACCATTCGTTCGCCATGGATTAGACTGGGTCCTTGTTCTTGAATAGCCTGAAAGTTTGAACACATAAAATATTTTATCTTATACTGATTAAATACCACGGGTAGAAGTCCTTCTTCTTCTTTTTTGGTCAAGTATAGCCTAGTCACGTGTTTTCGTCGTACACCCAGGAAATGTGCGACAACCAATTCGTGTGAAGTCTTGAGTCACGGATAAAAGAGAGTAAACGTCAGTGCAGCAACTCCGTCTTATGCGGTTTAAAAGTCCACTGAAGTCTGATTGCAGCATCTGCCCCCCAGAGTTGCGGTTACGAGCGGGTGTCGGTCTTGAAGCGAGTGGCTTCGAAAAATACGAAAATAGAGGACGAAAAATCAATTAAGGGGTTACGAGACGCTAGTGGATAATTTTACAGTTAAAAGTGGATTTTATTTCAAAATACGAAAATCACTAAAATACATTTTTCTGACCTTAGAATTGCGCTCATACACTACATATAAGCCCGAGTTTCCGTACTTGATTTAACTAGAGTTTGCCGGATGTTTCAGCCTTTGTAGAGTTTACAGTAGCCTCGACTTTGTTGTTTCCTTTCTAAGATGGCCAGCCGATGTCGCATTCCTAACTCCTGGATCTTTAATGAACTCCAAACACCAAACTGTTGACTACTCAATCAGTCAGGCGACCATTTTTATTGAATCACGTGACGCAAATGGCTTTTCAAAAACTGTGTAGTCTTTTATACAAAATTTTACTTTGCTTTTTAGTTTTGATTATTTATTTCCGGTTCAAAGTGATAGCACTGCTAATTAATAAAAATTTCTACTATTAGACACAATCAACTGTAGGCTCAGCTGAAATTATTTATAAAAATCATGTTATTTCTTCGAAGAAAGGTTAACTGCCAGTTAAACTGATAAGAAATTTGCAAAGCAACAACAACTAAACTGAAAAGTAACGTCAAAGTTATGGAAGTGCGAGCATTGCTGGTATAGCACGTAATCAGTGAAGAGTTCAAAACTCAAACAGCAAACATTGTAATTAGTACAGAAGTAATATAATTTTAATACGCATTTAATTTAAATTATGTACTAAAAATTACAACAACACATGCATACATATAATCAGTGGTCAGTTATCAGTTATCAATAAATATCAATCTCTATGTTTTTTTCTCGACACCCCAGCCGACACGCGTGGACGGCTCTTCATACATCGCCGAGGGCATTGACAAGAATGAGCCGCGAAACACTTGTCTACTCTACACGCTGAAAGATCAGAGCAGCGGCTCGCTGGCCAAAAGTTTAAAGATCTTCACACAACACAATATCAATCTGCTGCACATCGAATCACGTTCTTCGGTGCGTGTGCCCGGTTATGAGTTCTTCGTGGAGTGCGATACCACATCTGGCGCACTGGGCAAGGCCATCGATGAGTTGCGTGAGGAGTGCAGTTATTTTAATATAATTTCACGTGATTATAAGGACAACAGCGCGGCGGTGCCATGGTTTCCACGCAGAATAAGAGATCTCGATCGTTTTGCTAATCAAATTCTCAGTTATGGTTCGGAATTGGATTCTGATCATCCGGGCTTTACCGATCCCGTGTATCGTGCGAGGAGGTGTGTTGTGCTAATTGTGTTTTAATGTTGCTTTTTTTTTGGAGAAAATTAAATGAAATATTTAATAATTTTTTTTTTTAATTTAATTTCAGAAAATACTTTGCCGACATTGCCTACAATTACAAACATGGCGAACCCTTGCCACGCGTTGAGTATACCAAAGAAGAAACAGAGACTTGGGGCATAATTTTCCGTAATCTTACAAAATTGTATAAGACACACGCTTGCCGTGAATACAATCACGTGTTCCCATTACTGGTTGACAACTGCGGCTTCAGAGAGGACAACATACCACAGTTGGAGGATGTGTCGAACTTTTTGAAGGGTGCGTACATACAAAGTATACACATGTTTCTTAGTATTGGTTTCTTAATAGTGCCAAGCGACTGTCGAATTCAGTAAACAACTTTTAAGACTTTGGTCTGGTCGGAATTCAATGCCACGAACTTCAATTTGGAATACGTCCGACTTATCGAGGTCGTCCTTAAGGCTGCGACATCGCACTCAACGCTAAAAACACTCTTAGCCTCAAGTGAAATCGGTCCTGCGTTCAAACTGTCCGAGTCGTAAAGCTGCCCTCAATACAGTTCGCCCTGCAGTGCTAATAAACGTCCTTACCCACGTCCAGATAAAGCACGGGGTTATGTCCTCTACTTATTTCTACAATTTGAAACTGGACGGGGGCCAGGAGAACTTTTTCATTTATTTATTCATATTATATGCTAGATCTTGGTAGAGAGGTTTTAATTTTATTATTTTGAAACTTTCCTAACGACTTAAAGAACCTTCGACCATCACATATACTGAGGATGTCTTACATAATTTGCGCTTTGTATCCAATAAAGCGGGTTTTGGCTAAGCTCCTCCTTCAATTCGTGGCTTTGTGTCTCTGGGTTTTCCCAACAAATGGAGGGCCCTTAAGTTTATTCTAAGCCACCTCCGAACAACTTATGGAGGATCTTTAATGCCGAAAAAGAACCGAAGGGCTTCAAATTCCACACGGAGGATGACTTACATGCAATCAAAGCCTACTCTTTTTCGACATAGACAATTTGGACGAGTATTCTTCATAAGATAGACGAAAGCCATAGAGCTTGACGTGAAAATCGACTTCATCGAATAACCCCTGCAAGCAGTAGATGCAACAAGAGCGATTGTTATTGAAGATACCTTTCAGGTACATCTAAGGGTACTTACCCAATTATACGAATTGATTATGGCACTAAAAATTCAAGCCACTGAGCTCGCTTCATGAGAGACAAACAAATATTTTCAGGAATTCTCATCCCGTGAATGACGTTATCGGAGTCCGAGCAGCAGTAGATACGGATGAAGAGGTGGAGATGGTACTGAAACCGCGTGAACCTGCCTAACTGGTATCTGACAGTCGAATACGAAGAGCTCGGGCTGCACAGTCATTTCACAATAAAGGTTATAACGGTTAGATCCCCACCTATCCATAGTAGCCTACGATTTGGTTAACGAATATCCCATTTAGATTGAGTTCTCACATAATTACACTCACCTCTTTGCACTTCCCTCATACCAACTCAACTCATCTAAAAGCTCTTTCTCTTTGGTACGAGTCCCTTATTCTAACCCGCCTATTAGATGACCTGCATTACAATACTTGGAGAAATTTGTCGAGAGCCGCTTAGTAAAGTGCAATGTAGATCAAGTTGGCACTAAATAATCATGAGCGCCCCCGGCGGTGGATGTAGATTCCTCCTAATGCATTATTAGCTTGTAATAAAAAGCAACACACAAAAATCCAGGAGCTTTAGGTCCCTGTACATTCTGAAAAAAAAAAAACACTTGGCTCTATGTGGTGTAAAAGGTTTTTCTCTTGAGATACTAGAACTGCATTTGGGGTGTATGAACGCGGTTTCGGAGTACCTCGGTCATACTCTAAATTTATAACTAATTATGAACAAAAAAGTTTCCCTCTGCTCCATTACAGATTGTACTGGCTTCACTTTGCGTCCCGTTGCGGGCTTACTCTCATCACGTGATTTTCTAGCCGGTCTTGCATTCCGTGTCTTCCACTCTACGCAATATATACGCCATCCCAGCAAACCGATGTACACACCGGAACCCGATGTGTGTCATGAACTTATGGGACATGTACCGCTATTTGCCGATCCCGCTTTCGCACAATTCAGTCAAGAGATTGGTTTAGCTTCGCTCGGTGCACCCGACGATTATATTGAGAAGTTAGCGACGGTAAGTAGAGAATATTTACGACACATTACGACAAAAAACGCACAAAATTCCTTGTCTCACTTATCTCGACAGAAAATCGAAATTTAATAATAAAAAAAAAAAAAAAAAAAAAAAAAACTTTTAAGCCGAAGAATTTTGTGCGAGCTGTCAAAAGCGAGTTTCTGAACTAACAGCAATTTCTAACTGTATAATTTTGTAAACACACATAGATATTTTGGTTCACCGTTGAGTACGGCATGTGTCGTCAAGATGGTGAGTTAAAAGCTTATGGCGCCGGCCTACTCTCCTCCTATGGTGAATTGGAGTATTGTCTCTCCGATAAGCCACAATTGAAGGACTTCGATCCAGAGGTAACAGGTGTAACCAAATATCCCATTACACAATTTCAAGAGGTCTACTATGTTTCGGAAAGTTTTGAGAGCGCCAAAGAGAAGACCATGTATGTGCCGAGCTTTTTAAGAAATTTAAATTCGAGGCTAAATAATATTTTATTGTTTCCTCTTATATTTAGTAAATTTGCCAATTCCATTCCACGTCCATTCGGCGTACGCTACAATCCCTATACGCAGAGTATTGAGGTGCTCGATTCGAAGAAACAAATACGTAATCTTATGGACGATATCAACTCGGAGTTTCAAATTCTGCAAAATGCTGTTCAGAAATTGAAGGTTTGAGCGGAGCGTTTGCGGTATATGAAATATTATTTAATAAATATGTAAAATAAAATATATATAATATATACCAATATATAATCGTATATGCATTTATTAGACACATACTTACCAATAGTTTTACTTTGTTTAATGTTTCTTCATATTTGTACTGCTTGTTATTATTGCAAAAAAAGAAAAAAAAAATAAAAGATTCAAAATAAATAAATAAAATTTTTATTTATTTTTATATACTGTTTTAACAGTTTTTTTCTTGCTCCACAAATTTTCTTCAGCTTTTTATTTCTATATATAAAAATTTTCTATATATATCGATATATATATATATATATATATATATATATAATTACAATATTAAGGTATTTCGCAAGTATATACAGGGTGTCACAGAATTAAAGCGAGATTTGAATTAAGTAGACATCAAAGCTTTTAGCTTTCAGATTGTGATTTTTCATTGCATCATAAAATACATACAAATCTTGCGTTAATTCCTGAACAACATCTATTAAGCTTAGTAAGAAGTAATCCATTATTTTTGCAATATACGGCCTTAGTGGTCTGGTTCTTGCGTTATATAAACGCGATTGGATCATGCTAGATAGCGTTAGATGGATCATTTTTTGTACTAAAACAGATAATGGGGGCAGTGTTGATCTGATGACCCAGTAGTGTTTGAATGCAAGTCAAAGATGGACTTTAGCGGAGCGAAAATATGTTTCATTCCCCATTTCTTTTTCGATGGAACGAAAACGTATGTGAGGCAGCTGACAATGGAATTGCTGCTTATGGTTCTGCGACTGTAAAAGTCAACCATACACAATTCTGATTTCATCGATTTCTTTCCAGTAATTTCGATGTAAAAGATGCGCCACGGTGTGGAAGGACCATTGTCGAAAAATAGTAATAGAAAATAGTTGGGAACCACTTTAAAAAGGCCGGATACATATAGAAGCTCGAAGTACGAGTGCCACATGAGTTAACGAGATAAAAACTGCAAATCGCTGATGAATCGAAACTAAATCGCCTCATTTCTGACACGTGTGATGATGGTTACTGAAAAGAGGATCTCTTACAGAAACGCCAAACGAATACTGTTGTGATCGAAGTGCAATAAGCCGGCGCAAATGGTCTCCAAGCCACGATTGACAGCCAGGTAGGTTTTATTGTGTATTTGGTGGCACGTAGTTGGCAAGGTATCATCCACTACGAGCTGTTCTCCTACAGCCAAACCCTTAATTCGGACGTGTGCTGACAGTAATCTATCGCCCAAAAGCGCCCAGCCTTAAGCAACAGCAGGAGAATTGTGTTTCTTCAGGACAATGTCAAACCACACACATCGATAGTAACTCGGAAGAAGCTCCGAGAGCTTGGTTGGGTGATGAATCGCCCCCGGGAATCTTCGAGAGAAAAATTTTACGAACGCTTTATGATCCTTTACGCATAGCGAATACGGCAGGCTATTGACCGATGAGCTGTGCGAGTTATACGATGATATTGACACAGTTTCGCATATAAAGATTGGTTCTCATGCAATCACCTTATAGTTCTTATCTGGTACCAAGTGATTACTATTTGTTTCTACCTATGGAGAATTAATTAGATGGTGAAGAATCGGGCTCAAGAGAAACTTGTGAAAATCGATTGTCCAAACTTTTGGTACAAAGTTATCGAGAAATTAAAAAGACTTCTCGACCACTAGAGCGCAATCCAAGTGTCACTAATAGCAGTAACGGAAGCGGCTTCGTGATTGCTCGTTTCTGATACTTTAACTCCAGCTATTACTATATATTCTGGCAGCCAGGCTGCCATTAAGTCTCACCATTGTAATCTTACCACCTCAAAGTTGGCCATGAAATGCAGAGAGGTCTTAAATAAACTCCCGACTATTTGCGAAGAGCCGCTGATTATTGGAATATACCAGAGAATCGCTTGGCCGATGAAATGCTCGGAAAGGTCTTAACTACGGTAAGCTCTGCCCATTATGTGGTCATGCTGCTTCCACCAGAAGTGCCAACAGCACTTGTGCAATGTGACAAGACAAAGCTTGCTATTAAGCGATATAAACAGAACTAAGTCTCTACACCCTCTAAAGCGTAACTACATAAGCAAAGAAAGTGACGTTAGGGGCTTAAGAATTTACCCGCGGTAAGGCATGTCTGTCGTAAGAGGCCACCAAAATCCAATAGTTCCCGCAACAGTCGGGTCTTTATACTGGATCAGCCAAGGACATTCTCCAAAAAGTACTTTGGGGAATAGTTTTGCGGTTACAACAACAACAACAACAACAACAACGTAATAACCGTACATTGCAGGGCTGCATCTCAAATGACTTCTGCCGCAGTTACAGGGATATAGATGAGGAGAAATCGGTGGAAGACTACCTCTGCCGCTGCTCAGCCCTTAGTGCGGTCCGTTATCGCATTCTCAGAAATTTCTTCTTCGATTGTCTTTGCAGGGCTTTCATCGGTGGGTATCATTAAGTTCCAGAATTTCAAAAAATGCACCAACAATTTTGGAAAGGTGAAATGAATCTTTTAAGTAGATCTAAATGTGCTTGATCAGGATTCTATGATCAAGTAAACTGTTAAATTAGCAAAACGGTGCAAATTTGACATAAAACGGTTAAATAAAACCGTGGCAAATAAAGCCTTTAATTCAATGTAAAAATAATGGATTACTTTTTACTAGACCTCATAATTGCTTACATTCAGCCTTAAAGCTAATTTATACTACTGTACATATACATATATATCTATAAAGGGCTATGTACATACTTATATATTAAAGAAAATATATTTACAATCTTTTTTTACATGTGTATATAGATAAACTAAGGTATATATATAGTACATGAAAAGGATTTAATCCTTATTATATACGTATATATGTACAAGTGATTTTTTTTAAAGAAATAACAAATTTTCAAATAGATTTTATGCTAAAATGTCATATACATATATGTATGTATAACAGGGGCTTGATAAACGCTGCAATGAAGAGTGCGTCAGGATTCGTACCCATGACCATCCTCATGGTAGTAAGCACTGACAACCACTCGTCTCAGAAATATTTTTTTTACAACTAAGTTATTGTTACATCAAAATAATTTTATTGAAATATTAAAAAATAAATTTTCAATTTAGATGGAATTAAAAGTCTATACCTACATATATATACATATGTATGTGTATAAAAAATTAGTTTGGTTAGGTTGTTTGTAATAAAAAATATTTTATTGCGCTGTATTTACATTTGTTATATTTAAATTTGTTTATTAATACTAATTTATTTTTTATTCGATTAAATATTAATTTTTTTTTAAATTTATTTACTTATTTATATTTTTTTAACCTGAGTGTGACACAGAAGTTTCTACGTTAATGCACATATTTACAATTAATTAACTTAAATTATTTATAAACAATTTATTAATTATTTGCACTGTCGTAACTCACATTAGTTTGATGGCTTTGCTTATATAATATTTTATGAAGAAAAAAATCACAAGAGAATTTAAGTTTGAAAAACATAATAATAATTTTTTAAATACATATATATTGCATACTTATATTACACATATTTACAAGCAGGAATTTCATTTGCTATTAAACAATTAAATGTTTGCTTAAATATATTATACACACGAATTTTAGATATTGCAATTTGTTGAAAAAGAATAAAAAATCACAAAAATAAATTTTAAATTAATTTTTAAATAATTAAAATTTATGTAACAACTCTAAGGCTTAGGTACTTAAGTCATATGCTCAAGAATAAAATTCTTTTATTATAATTAGGAAAAAGTTTAATTAATTTAAAATAAAAAAATTGCCTAATTTTGGAGTTTTTTGTGTCTTAATTTTGTTATTTCGAAGAGCAGTTTCAATATTTACAAGATAAATATAATAGTCTAGGCGGAAAAATTATCGGAAGCTGGACAAAAATTTACATTAGGTATCCAGATCACGGCTATGTAAACTGACGCTGGACAACGATAGAAGCGCAGTCAGAATTGTGAAGGACCTCACCAAGCGGTTCGATAAGAAATGAGGTTTCAGATGTGGTCGTGACCCTTTATCGTGTGAAAATAACAAGAGCTGCAGAGCTGAATAGAAAAAAATACAATATTTTATAAGAGTGCACAGTTGTGGCATATGCCGCGCTCTTTTTTCCGCCTTTTCTGGACTTGAGCGAAGCAAATGGGTCTAGCAGTGAATGAGGACAAAACGAAATATTTGCTGTCGTCAATCACAAAGTCGTTGTTATGGCTACGCTCCCACATTGATAGTCTTCTAGAACTTCGAAGCCGTAGATAATTTCGCCTATCTTGGAACCAGCGTTAACACCAATAATAATGCCAGCCTTGAAATCCAGTGCAGAATCACGCTTCTCAACAGGTGCTACTTTGGGCTGAAGAGGCAATTAAAAAGTAATGTCGCGTCTCGACGTACCAAAAACCAAACTCCACAATTCTCTAATGTGCTCCCGTGCTACAGTAAGGTGTAGAAGAAGCCTCGATAATGTCGGCATTCGATGAGTCGGTAACGGGAGTCTTTGAGAGAAAAATTTTACGTACAGTTTATGGTCCTTTGGGCATAGCGGCAATACGGCAGGCTATTGAACGATGAGCTGTACGAGTTATACAATGATATTAACTCAGTTCAGCGTATAAAGAGACAGTGGCTACGTTGGTTAGGTCATGTTGTCTGAATAAAAGGAAGCGTCGGTGGAAGTAGAGGAAGTGAAAGACCTCCACTCCGTTGGAAGGATGAGGTGGCGAACGACTTGCTTTCAGTTGGAATTTTCAGCTAGAGAAGAGAAGGAACGAATGGCGCACTGTTATTGATTTGGCTACAATGGTGTAAGCAATGTCCACGCCAATGAAGGGAACGAAGCCCAGAATTTCAAATTATTCTGAAAGTCCAGTTGCTAGTTAACATGGATAAAGATAAGGCATTTCAGTGTTAAATTATTTTCGCCCAGAACTTTCTTGGTAACCATAAATCCGACAATTCTTTTATAACAAATTTTACCGTCAACATCTTAAATAACTCAACTCCTGCCTTTAAGGTTAAAATCATCTTCCTCTCTTTCTCTCTCTTTCACTCTCTCGATCTCGCTCTCTCTATCTCTCTCTCTCTCTCTTGCTCTCGCTCTCTCTCTCTAGGTGAATTTAAGCATAAATTTTGATAAAAATTACTAACTCAAAATTTTGAAATTTCATTGCTAGTATTTTTGGTTTTATATTTGAGGGTCAACATGGATAGTTTGAAATTTGAGAAAATATTCAAAATTAATAGTAATAAATAAGTAACAATTTTCCACCAAAAATGGGGGAAATAAATCAACAAAACGTAGGCATAAACTAAAAATGTATGGCGGAATGGGAGCCGGTATCTACTGCGCAACCCTTAGATGCTCTAGAATACTGCTGTATCTTCCAAGCCCTCCTCCAGCTAGCATTTCACGAAATCACATATAAATACCAAATTCGAAAGCCCAGCAGTTAAAGCAGCAATTCACATTGTATTATGACAGAAAATGTCCTTGGGAGCAGAAAGACGGTAGAAGTGGTGGCTATAGTAAAGCGTCTGCATATACATACATATATACAGACAACGAGGGTATTTCGAGAAATAAGAAAAGTGATGAGATTACTAAAAGAACCATGCGTCTAGCTACCGAAACAACTAAGCACAGAGCACAGTAAAATTTCCACAAGGTCTGACAAATGAATCAGTATGAGATGAAATGCCTTAAGGACATGCCCAACCGGCAAAAACATACATAAGAGCACCGAAGAAAGACACCCATGGATTTTAGCCCACGTGGTCCCGAAGGATTGCCTAACCATTCTTGGCCTAAGGATAGGTCATAACTTGAAGAACTGACACGCCAGATATATGACCATTAGTAACGCTGACATATGCCGGAAGGGAAGAAGGCTTGTATGAGACGCAGGTGCACCTCTTCTGCTCAGTTAGAACTCATCTTAGATATCCTTCGTGGTTGAAAGGATTGGGTGAAGCATCGAAATTAGATATCAAAGCTCTCTGAGACTTCCCAAAAATCGTTGATGTTCTACATGATGACTACTTTACCTCGAACTTAACTGAACATCCATCTGGAATTCCAAAGAACTTGCAGTCTATGTATAATCCGACAGTATAATCTAACCTAACATTTTACTAGAGAATTCAATTCTTCAATATTGCACTTCTAAATCTACATTTTGGTTGCCTTATGAGGTGAGGTAAGATGAGCTTTTAAATTAATTTCGTCGTGCTTTTAAAGCTCTTTAAAAGCTCTTTAAAACTATTATTATTTACCTAGTAAATATGTACTTTGTTATATACTATATCTACACCAATGAGCATACAAACAGTCATACACACACACATACAAACACACATTCACACATACTAACTATTATCATATTATAATTAAGAATACTCTCCTTACAACTAAACCAATTCGCTTAAAGCCTCAAGGCTATTGACTATTCCTCGAAGATTGCGGTGAGTTGAAGAGGTTCTGCGACTGCTCCTGCGACATTTGATAGGGCAATATTTCCAAATCGTTTGGCAGCTGATTGGTGTTCGCTTGGCCGCTGAGCGCTTCAAAGGGATTGCTGGGAAAGAAGGAGTTGGCGCGTTGTTGCTGTTGCTGCTGCTGCTGTTGTTGTTGTTGTATTGCTTGATTGGCGCCAATTAATTTATTCTCCATACGATCGCTCTGCGATTCCGAGCCGTTATCGCTAATGCCCATCGGGAAGTTCAGTGTCGCACTGGACTCTGTGGCCATTTGCATGTAGGTGAGCAGGGAGTCTTCGTTTGTCGCTTGTGGTGTGTTGTTGGTGTTGTTGATAAAATTTTGATTTATGCCGGACTGCTGCTGTTGTTGCTGTTGTTGCTGCTGCTGCTGTTGCTGTTGTTGCGTTACATTGCTCGCCGGTAAGGTGTTGTTGTTGTTGCGATTGTTCATACTCGTTTGGGTGGTGGTGGTGCTGAGCGTTTGGAGGGGTGAGAGATTGAAGAAGGCGTCGATCTCTTCGTGACCGAATTGCGCCAGATCAGGTACGTTACGTGAGAGAAGGTTCAACTGTTGTTGTTGCTGTTGTTGCTGATGAGCTGTTGGTTGTTGTTGCGATTGCTGTTGCTGCGATTGTTGTTGTTGGTGATGAGCTTGCAGTTGCTGCAGCTGATTTTGTTGCTGATTTTGCGTTTGTTGTTGTTGCTGTTGCTGATGGTGGTGGTGTTGTTGGTGGCTGCCGTGTTGCGTCGAATGTTGTTGCTGCTGCTGCTGCTGTTGATGAATATGATTATGCAATTGTTGCTGCTGCTGCTGCGTCTGCATGTGTTGGTGCTGCAACATCATTTGCTGCGCGGTCTGATCCGGCAGCTGCTGCTCGGCGTTGGAGTTCATCGTAAAGCCAAATTGATTGAACTGTTGCTCCATAGAGCTGCTGCTGCCACCAAAATTGAAGTTCCCTCTGCTGCTGTTCGTGGGCGTATTGTAGTTCATAGGCATCATGGGCTGCAGCAGCGTGTAGCGCGCCAACAATAGTTGCTCGGAAACAAGGCGCAGCTCATCCTGTTGCTGCATGATCAGCTTCTGCAACTCGTCATGCTTTCGCTGTAGCTGATCCTGCAGCTGTGTTTGCGTGGGTGTCATCACCACAGCGCCGGACAACATATCCGTTTGCGCTTGCAGGGGATCGAAGCTGCCGTTTGGTGGCTGTCCGGCAGTTTTCCAAGGCGGCGCCGTACTCACGTTTACCGGCAGCGGTGAGAGCACCGGTGCGACTGGGAATTGTGCTATCACCGGTTGCACTGGTATGGCGGCGAGGTATTGTGAGGGCTCCAGAAATGTGGGGCCGACTATTTGTGAGCTGCGTATCGGAAAGGTGGGCTGGGTGAATTGGCATGGATTGTTCGGTACAATTTGCGCCTGCGCCATGGTATTTTGCGGCAGCATTGGCAGCAGCTTTTGGCTCTGCGCTTGACTAATCTGCATTGTGTTGTTGTTTTGCAGCGTTTGGTGGTGACTGTGCAGCGCATGTTGGTTAGCTGCGTTCAACTGCTGCGAATGTGTTGTACTTTGTGGCATTTGCATGCCGCTGTTATGATGGCCGTGTCGATGCCGACTCTGGAATGGTAAAAAGTTGTTACTTTTCGATTTGGTAGGAGAAGGTAAATTTTGAAAATTCTAAAATGGTAAATGGGCGGAAATAGAGAAATGGTGAGCAGGATCATATTTAGAAGTCCATGCAAGTGCGGACACTTTGTGATGGTCATTCACCTCGAAGTGGCCAGGAAAGATGCTTAGTGAGCTCATGACTTCTAGCCTTAGATTAACTCTTCTTTGGTGAACCAAGAAGCAAACCATTCGGGCAAGTTGATGAAGGCTGACACCAATGCCAACAAAAAGCAGTGGAAGGGACCATGAAGTTGGTTCTTGTTAGGTTTGCTTAAGCGATCATATGATGAGTAATAAGTTTGAAGTTGTTGTGGTGCGAGAGAGACACATAATTACCACTTCCAGCATATAAACCACGACAAGGGACTGCCGAAAAAAGAGTGGGAGCATCTAAGATTTTTTTATGTTTGTATCAACTTTATTGGATCAGAAATATTACCCTTTTTTCGGTTATAATGCGGTGGAAAAGAGCTTAAACAAAACTCTAGAATGAAGAGTATTTGTGACCTAAATTAAAGAGTGTAATTTTCTTTAATTTTTGATGTTTGACCAGGATTCCAACTAGAGCCTTCAGATGACGATACGCAAGGCTAATCACGGGTCTATAGCGAGCTATGGAGTTTTTACCTCCGACAAATATTGAGTATAACTGTTTAAGCACCTAACACAACTCACCGAACTCAAGTGCGTCATCAGCGAGTGCTTACTGGTGGCCGAGTCTGCTGAAATAGACGTCGAGTCGGATTCGTTACCCGGCCGATGAGGAAAGTAACGTTTCCTCTTCGCAGTCGGTGAGATTCCAGTTGAGCTAATATTACCATAACTCGAGGCGGGTCGTGAGGTCTTGAACGTTGTGGGTGTTATACCCGTTGTTGAGGAAGCATTCGGCCATATCGGTGAGGTGTCCAGGCGCGGCGAAGCTTCATTTAAGATACCCATTATCACATTGCCACTATCACTCGCCGACATCGTGGATGGGTCTAAGCTCTGATTGCTGGTCTCCAAATCGCGCAGTGTCATTGTCGATGACTTGCTAGTGCTATTGTTAATCGATGGGGTCTTGTCCAACTTATTGCCCGCCTTCGTTTGACGTATCACATCTGCGTAGCTGACAACTTTGTGTGTGCACACCACATAATCCGGTTTCGAGCTAAATTGATGGTATGACACATAAAACTCGGTCTGCAGCCAAATCCACTGTTGCCCTTTGGTGAGGAAACGATAATAGCAGGACTTGCATTCGCCTTTCTGCATCACTGTTGAGGGAGAAATTATAGTTGTTTAGTTTATGTAGTAAAAGTGGTGTGTATGCGCAAGTGTATGCGTATGTGTTTGTTTGTGTGTGTGTGTATGCCACTTACACTCCTCATGGCAAGCGACGATACTCTCCAGATCATCGAAATGATAGTAATCATAACCGGATGTGCCGAGCACCTCGAAGGGCATATAGCCAATGATGGGCGGCGCACGGTGATCAAGAAAGAGGAATTTCCACTCCATACTATGTTTCGATGTGAATTCGTTACATGTTGGATCTATGGCCGACATCTCCCGTATCAACTGCGGCGTTTGTATACGTCCCGTGCCAACGAAAATCAACTTCTTGTCCACCTCAGCGTTGGGGTTCATTTGGAAGATGCGCGGTAAGGCAAGAGCGTTTTGCGCTTGTATGCTATCGAGATTCACATCGTTTCCTGTGATCGAGAGGGGAGATGTAGTTAGATTACTTATGTAGCATTGCTCTGCTCAAATGTTTACTTACTAAAATAACCTACAAATTTGACTAATTCATACGCATTGGCGTCGACCTTCTCGATGCCGCCGCGACGTAAATGCAAACAAAAGGTAATCTGATTACTTGAGTTGATATCAGTCTGTAGTGGTTCAATCACTGGTTTCGGATTTAAAAATATATTCAATAGACTTTCGTGATCCATTTCGTAGGTCAAATCGAATATGGTCATATTCACTAAGTCACTCTGTGGATTCAACGAAATGTGGGGTTAATTTTCTTTTGTGGCGGAGAAAATTGTAGTTGTGATTACCTACCGGCAAGTATCCCAGAAGTGGCGTAATACTCTCAGATGCATAACATATGGAACCAATACCGCTAAACACTATTATGAAGCCATCCAGGGATTCTAGCATGAGATGTGTAAATTCGTCGTTGGTAAGGAATGTCGGTTTCCAGTCTTGCTGAATTTCGAAAACTTTCGAACGATCGGTGGCTTCTGTAAATTAGAATTGGAAATAATTATAAATACCGATCAGAGAATTGAGATGGATATTACAAGGGATTTCGAACTTCATGGAGGAAGATCTGAAAAGGTAAATTGAAGTATGAGCTAAATGCTGCGAAGGGCAGAAACATTCCTGAGAAATGTTTCTTTTTCTTCTTTTTTTTGCACTTTTACCTCAAATTGCAAACGCAAAAATGATATTTAGCTTCGCCTCCGGTCGGTAATGTTTGTCTAGCCATCTTACCAGCCATCTTATCTTACAAAATGGGAGTATGAATTTCGTACGATTGCAAGTTTTTAATACGGAACATTCGTTTCTACTCCGAAAAACTGACACTCCTTTGCTTTGAGAGCAAAGTTTTCAAACATTAAACTGGCCCAATCTGTTACCCAATTGGTTACCTAAGCTGTCAGGTTACTAAGGTTAATGCGACTGATTCCGTTTAGGAGCTCTCGCTTAGATACGGGTCTGTTCAGTTTAATGTGATGCCATCGAGTTCCAGAAAGCAAGAGCGTGCTACGTAATCACGCAAAAACGTCTAACGATGGTTAAACATTTTCAAATGTTGATGATAAAAGATGTGCAATATAAGATTAGCAAAAGGCGAAATGAGTTTTGGACAAAACCATTAGATATTCTACTGATTAAGTACATTGAGAATCAGATATGATCTTTCCATAACAGTTTCAATCGTACAGTGGGTTCCCGGAGCGAGCATCAACTGTGAAACAGGTTTATGAGCTCGATAAGCTGGAACCTTTGTGAGATTTCAAAAACTCGCTCCGCCTATGCTGATTTAATGGTATGATGCTAACAGAGTAAGAGAACAGTCAGAGTTTTCAAGTCTAGTTTGAAGATTTTCGCTTGAAGTCAAGCTCATCGAAAAAGTCCAATTTTAGTTCCCGACCCAACAAAGCATCTAGCTTTCTTAAGCATAACAGCGGGTCTGCGAGCGAGTCATCTACAAGCATTACCTAAGGGAGTTGGGTTGGTGATAGAATGGAATAATTTAGGAGTTAAATAACATTTTTTTCTTTTTCTACCTTTAACCACCTTCGACACTTACCGTTGTGATGTTTCAAAAATGCTATCGTCGATTTCAATACCGTCGATTTGTCCATCTTCCGATTCGATGTCGATATCAACGCACTCAAATCATTCACCAAAGTGTTAAACTGATCTCGCCTCTTCTTTTCACTAAGATTTCGAGATTTTCTAAAAAATAAAGGATGAAAGATAAATAGATAGGTAAATAAACAAGCTCAAGAATTAACAGGAAAAATAGTGCTGAGTTCGGGTAGCATCGAGCCTGAGTTACCCCAGTGTGTTAAATGGTCTGTCTCAAGTACTAGCCGGAAGAATGCCTACCATATATATCCATAAGTTTGTACTCAATTTAGTCCCGCAGCAACTTAGTGGAAGTTAAATTGGAAGTTGTAAGGCACTCAACCCCTATCCTTGTAGATTAGTTGGGCTTAATAGCCTGGGAAGAGATGTGATAGCTTTCAGGGTCAGATATGTTCTCTTTCAAAACTTGAGAAATGGACTTTTAATAGCGATAGATATCAACAGAGCCATCTTTTGAAGGTGGCCCCGAAGACGTCCATTGCACCGGGAATTGGTAGTCTTTTTCGCACCTAGCATTTCGAGGCTTTCAACTATAATCTCCTTCGTTTACATATGTTCGGCTAAATTACAGTTTATAACCACTTAAAGGTCAACTTAAGTTTTGCACTGTTCTTCTGATTTCCTTTCAAAGTTGATTTCCAGTTTACTTTTTTGAAAACGGCTTTGACTTAGTTATTATTTGAGGCCAATTATGCACCACGGCAGATATCAGCTCTACATTTATGAACAGTTCTCTTGTCTAATTCAGTAAGAATCGAACTGGAAGTAACGTGAAAGATAATCGGTTGAAAGCCGAATACACGAAAAGGCGGTGCTTCAGTGTTTCTTCACTTTCTGAGTACGCTTCAGATTCCACTTTGCCAGCTTGTAGAAATCATATACCAGAGGTACAATAGTGGACCGGTCAAAACTCAGTGCACTTTTGAATAACTAAACTAACAGTTTGTTAATGGTACGACCGGAGTTGGCGCCTCGAGACCCTAAGTGGTCCTCTATGATCTACAATTTTAGATAGCATTCGCTGGAGCTGAAATGTCTGCGGCAGTCGTTGGTGACAGTCACGGTAGGGCCCTAGCGCATGCCATCTCCTCCGCCGTTCAACAACCGTCTGACCTCAGACTCGGGTGATTTTCCCTGTATTTTCTAGCGGTAGCCTGTTGATTGTCCCTAATATATTCCCACACATTTTGGGTAATGGGCTGACACATTTGAATTTTCGCTGGGCTATCCACAAGAAGGTGCTTCACACCTTGGTTTGTTTTTTCGGTCGCCTTGTGACTTTAGCATGAATTTTGCTAGAACTTACTATATGCTGCCAAGTCCTTCAAAGCTTTGGGGCTGTGTCCAACTATCTAATGTAGTATAGTTAGACGGTATCTCTAATCGTGCTGGCTTTACCCACTAAATATGGGTGTGGTACCTGCTCCAGAGGTTCAATGCGGCACTTCTTTTTTAGTATCGTCCACCACACCAGCGATCTATTACACGAAACTTTTGTTAAGCCAATTCACCATTTGAGTGTGCAGGCTCCATATTAAGTAACCCACTCTAAAAGTATTCCAAGTTCGGAGTTCTATGAGGCTTCTGCTATCCAGCTTTTTATTACGAATTATTCCGGGAGACTTTAGCAAACTGGACTAAGGGGTAATACTCTTATGGGATGATGGGTTAAATTGTTGAAATTTTGTTTTCCATGAAAAGAAGCGGACGATAAATTTACCGGGCTCACAGTGTGTCTTTGTCTCCCAGCCCACTCAGCTGAGGCTTGTTGTGTGCGCTCGGCAAGACCATACGCATAATTTTAACATTTTGACTCCCACTTACAGTCCACCTTTTGTGTAAAGTATGTGTCGACCAGGCAAGTAGGATCTACTTGATCCCAAATGAGACAATTTTTGAGATCAATGCGGTCACATTTGCATTAAAGGTCGCGGGGGTCTACTCCCGTTTACTTATAATTTTTCAATTGTTCCGACTACCTCAATCGCCACAAATCCTTTCGACGCTTTTAAGCATATTTCAGGCTGAGACTGATATCGATACGGACTAGTTCCTTACCAGGCTTCGGTATGAATTTGACCCCGGTCTCTTGCCACCTGTTCAACGGATATGCCAATCAGATGTAAGCTGTGTGGGCCGAGGTAATTCTTTGTGCTAGCAAGTTTTAAAGGCTCTTGATATCATTTCAGTGTTTAAAGTGAGCTCCTCACCTTGCACCGATAACTAGGCAATCTCCTGTCGCTCTCTCGTAAAGGCCTGGATTCCCCTTCACAACACCGTGTTGCTGACTGAGGTGGGCAAATAGTCATTGATTCCACTTCGCGTAGCTGACGACATCTTTCATGCCTCAGTGAAAATCGAAAAGCCCAGGATTTCGATTCCATTTGTTTAACCGAACGGAAAGGCTTGAATTCCGTTCCGTGGGTCACTCTCCGTCTTTAATTTCTCAAGCGACAATGGAATAAGTCGTAACACAAGATTAAAAAAAATATATTAACGAGTCACTCAAGAACAACTTTTACTGTAGTCCAAAGAGTTCAAGAAAATCTTTTCTTTTAAATTGGGCATTTCACATACGTCACTAAACCGTATTTTTCAAAAGGACTTGGGTCTTAAGGTTAATAAACTTCAGCTAATACAAGAACTCAAGCCGGAGTTGTTTCTTTACAGACAACTGGTGAGGCCTGTTTTCGCTTAGATGGCTACGTAGCCACTGAGACACTAAAACCGTTTCATAGTCGAAAAGCCTCTTCATCCTCAGCAAGTAACTGTTTGGTGCCGCTTGTGGTTCGGCGGGATCATTATACCAAATTTGTTCGAAAATGAGGCGGTGAATGCATTGCGCTATCGAGAGATGATTAATGATTTTACATGGCCGGATTTTTTTATTCGGACATGGTTTACTTTCAACAAGACGGCGCTACGTGCCACGCAAACAACGAAACCATTTATCTATTAAGGGAAAAGTATCCGGACCATGTTATCTCTTGAAGAGGTAATCGCAATTGGCCACCGAGATCTTGTGTTTTAACACATTGCGACTTCACGAGAAAGTTAAGGTCTACGCTAAGAAGCCAACGCTCAGGGCATACAGCAGCCACTTTGCGATTTGGCCATGAAAAATGTCATAAAACGGATATGGTCCTGTATTATCAATTACATATCTACCTCTTTACACTGAAATAACATCCGATGATTTATCTCAAAAAATACCATTTTTTTCTTTAAATATCAAAATACCATCTCTCATTGGATCCTTCCGTGTGCTAGTAAGCAATGCTAACCACTCGGCTACCGCGGCCGCTCTGAAGCAAAATTAGACACTGCAAAAAGGATTAAAGCCGAAGTAATCGAACACAGCCATCCCCCGATCGTTGCAGTCTGAGGCTTCAATCAAATAAATCTTGGGCATAAGAATTTCACAAAATTTTCAAAAACTACAAAAACAGGAAATTTACTAACATATAATGTTAACGTTACTTACAGGGTTGCAACAGGTAGTTCACACACATATCTACCTCAGTGAATATCTATATTTGTATATATAATTCTCTGAATGAACAACAAAGAATTATCTTACTACATATGGTGACGCTTGTATAATGCCACGCATGACTATTTTGGAACAATATTGGAATATTTCACATACACAATATGCACACTCATACATATGTATGTATGTATTTATATTATATTTGTTTACTTTTTCCAAATGTGTTCGTGCAACCATCACTCCCACGCTTATCATAAATAACAGCAAACTCATATGCATCTCCATCATTCTCAACTTTTTGCCATATCAACCACTTTCGCTAGTCTCACACTCATGTCCATGTCCAAGCTTGTGAGTTTCTATTATTTAACGGTTTTCAGGTGAAATGCCAAATGCGCTGCGCGACGTTGTCGTTTACATTCGTTTGTTTCGCTACAGTAAGTCGGTCTCATGCATTTGACAGTTTATGTCAAAATATACATTTACTTGGCCATCTATGGAGATGTATTTGTGTTTGTATGTATGTGTGAGTGTATTTAGCATTATGAAATCTCAATCGTAAAAAACGAAGGACTAATAATTCCTTGTCTTTCAGTCAAAGCTTGCTGATGGTATAAAGACAAATGAAATGATTTTTTTATAGAATTTTTTGTTTTTTTTTTTTCAATTTGTCTACTGTGTAAGCTGCTGTTTGTATGTATGTGTGATATACATTAGAAATAGGCAAAGTCATTAATATTTGGGATAATTTAATTATGTAACTTAGCCAAATCAAAACCGTTAGAATTATGGTTTATTAATATTACAATGTTGTATTTACATACATATGTATATATGTACATGTACATATGTACTTTTGTCGCTATTTGGAGGCGTGAAATTTACGAGATTTGAAATCGATATGCAATTTATTTTGCTTTTCTTCTTTTTTTCTTCCAATTCAGTACGATTCTAATAACAGTATTAATTGCATAATCGTGTAAGCTGGCCGAGAGAGGTGGGTATTGGTGTAGATAGGCACAATCAATAGCACCGAGTATTTCGCTGTGACAGGTGAGGATGTGTAAATTTGTTATTATAATACAAATTTGTGGTTTGGCGTCTTGATGTTTTTCCAACAAATGGAGGGACCTACAATTTATACTAAGCTGCCTGCGAACGGCTGATGGTTTTATTTACGTGGAGATTTTATTTCACTCGGAGGGATGGACACTCGGTGGAACGACCGCAATTAGAAAATTTAACTTCATTTTTTATTTAAATTAATTTTCCATTATTTTTGGATGTTGCTGGCACCGGGATATGAACCTGAGCTTTTCACGCCCATATTTTTGGGCCCAAATATTGAATACAAAAAAGGTTACATTAAACTTGTACAGCTTACGGTTTTATGGTGAGAGATATAGTGATGATAAGGGTGTTGTGTTCAGACATGTGGTATTCAAGAAGAAATAAAACGCATAAAATTTAATGTTATGACCATGAATTTAGATTTATTACAAAGATAACAGTTTGCCATTATGTTTTGAAAATAATTTCGACCGAAAAAATTCCAGCCGAGAGGTCCTACTACTGAGCTCTATATTTTTGCAGCAATAATACGCTGAGTTTCTCTTCTAAGGCGTGAATTGTTCCGGGACTATCAGCATAGATAAGCGACTTCAAATAATCAGTAAATAGTCCAACGGTGTGAAATCGCACATTATTGGTGGACTCGTTGGACACTGGCCAACGACGCCAGATGGTGCACTCACCAAAAGTTGCCTTCAATCAATTTTTTGTTTCATTGGCTGTACGGTATGTAGCACCATCTAAGGGTCGTACAGATCAACATCTTCAAATGGAGGCAAGAAAAGTCTTTAATCATGTCACCATGCCATTTGCCATTGACTGTTACATTATGGACCGCCTAATCTTGGAAGAAATACGATTCCCTCGACCCATAGAACCCACAAAACAGTGACTTTTTCAGTATGTAATGGTACCTAAAGAAAGGCTCGTATGGCTATAATCATGTTTATTTAACCATTCAACAATATTTTCTTGCAAAAATCGAGATCGGTGAACATTCACCGAATGTGCGACGCGTTTGATGGTCGTTCGGCTCTAATTCTTGTATGAGTTGATTTTGTAAGCCTGCAAATCAATATACTTTAGCAAAATCTTCCATAAAGTGGATGAAATGACGGATGGACTCATTTAGGTCTTCTTTGATATTCGGCTCCACAGCAGCAATAGCGTTTTCAGTGCGCACTGCAAGATATTTCTGGAGATGCGCATTATCCATTACAGTAAATGTGTGCTCGATTACTGATCTGCAGGGCGATTTTAGCGACCGAATATTGGCCGCAGCACGCGATGTTTAAATACAAATTCTCATAGCTGCATAAATCGGTTGTACGAGGGTCTTTACGTTACAGTCCTCTCATCTAACTGTTGCTATCTAATGACCGTCTGCCATTTTCCAGATAACTTCACAATATCATCAGTACAGAATTTCTATGGTTTTCAGCATAAGATCTGGAACAACTTGAACAGCTTTTCGGTTTTTACTAAAAAGTAGTATTACAGAAACCATTACAACTGGAAGTCACATGCCGCAAAGTCCAGGCTCATTGCATAAAGACTTTCCAAATAAGCTCCGTCAATTTATGCCAGGCCCATAAAAATGTATGTGGTCTAGCGACCTCATGATGAAACACGACACCTCTTCTATTGTTCAATAATGTGGACTTTTTTAAAAAGCTGATTATTTTATTCAGTTGAGCTCAGAATCGCTAGTTACGTCTGGTTGTGGTAGCTTATAATGGCCCATCAATTCTTTTGTATTGATTTAGGTAACAGAACAACTTCAGGCTTCTTTGCGGAGCCAGCCAATGAATGAATGATTTCACAGTGTCTACGGGATGTCAAATGAGTCAGCTATCACCTGACAGTGTTGAAACCGATCTTGTTCCATCAGTTACAGAATTACATTCATTTTTTTAATGAATCGTTGGCCAGTACGAGGTTCTTTTTTGACATGAAACTAGAAAGGAATGTCTTTCAGCTACTTGGAATGTCAACTTTCAAAGTCGTCAGTTTGAAACAATCGAAGTTGCGTTGTCCGAAATATAGCGTATTATCAACACCCATATAATTACTGCCAGACGTTTAAAAAGACTGAGACTAAGCCAGATGTTTGTTCTTTTCAAGATTGGATTCAAAAGATTACGTTTTAAGACCTGAAACCAAGTATTTTGATCAATTAATTTAAATTGATTTTACATTTTCTGGAATACTACAATATATGAGTATGATCCAGCCTTGAAGGTCTCAAGATTTCTTAAACAGAGTTTCAAACTTGATTCCAACAAAAAAGTTGCATGCCCAACCACTTGAATTATCTTCGATTTAGAAACAGATCAACTTTATTCCATTATCTTCTGTTTCGAAAATTGGATCTTCCACTACTCGGTGTTTCAAATAAAAAAACAGAGAGCGTTTTTGTGTTCGCATAATGTGCGCCTCTCAGGCGTTAGGCTCTTTAGTATGAATTATACAGTTCCTTAGTAAACAAAAAACAAATTATTACGGCGACCCTCGTACGCGAGAAAAAAGTTTATTCAAACAAGAAACCCATTGAGGACGACCCGCGACGCGAGACCTTATTCGAAAAGTTGAAAATTCGATTAGAAAAAAAAAACAACTCCCAGAAATGTTTGGAATATACGATGCAATCAAATTTAAAATCTTGGACGATCATTGTGGCATGACTAAGGCCACGCCTAAAAACAACAGACGCATTGTGCTGGCTACCCTGCGTAAGGTGGGATTCAATATTTCCAAACCTGGCGCCGAGGGGTTATAAGTTCTTTCTTAAAATGAAAAAGGAGCAGAGGAATAAAAAGAGCATGAAGTCAAGAGAGTGTTTAGTGGCATTGTGAAGATAAAGAGGGTTTTATTAATTAATTGAGTCGTCTGAAATAGTTTTAGAAGGAGAAAAGATTTGGTGTTTTATTTTCGCTCTTACTCCCCATTTTCCCAACATAAAAATGTTCTCTCGTGTGAGATTTAGCCGAGTGATTTCAGAGTTTTGCACTTCAAAAACAGGCGAATCAATTGAGTTAAAACGTTCTTGGAATTGTGTGGCCACAATATGAGACCAATAACTCGTTGAGCTTGTAAAAAAAGACTGTTTGACAAATAGATGTTACCACTTAAAGAGGTTTCGGTTACTATAATCGCGTAAGCGTTGCCGTTACCTACGTCAATTCAGACCAAATGAGCTTTTTTCTAATGAATATATTTTCCAATTTTAATTTAGAAAAATGTTTTAAAGATACATTTCTTTCAAGGATCTTTTTCTAATATACAACTGAACTCTGAATAACCTCGACCAGAAAAATAAAAAATTAATAAACAACATTAAAGTGGAGTTTTCGAAAAATCTCTCGAAAATAGTAAGTAAATGCATCATAAAGTGCAGTGGTATGCGAAGTGTGGGGTTATTGGAATAATAACGTCGTATATATGTACATATGTATGCACATAGCCACATTGCAATATTGAATAATAGAATTATGAAATTACAAAACATGGATGTTGCCGACACATGGCGAGTACGTACCGTTTCGTATCGTCCTTGTCGTCACTCTCGTCCTCCATTTTGAAATGCGTTAGATAATCCAATTTCCAATATGGCTGCAGCGAACGAATGGCGTTGCGTCAATGGGACGAACGCAAAAATAAAATACGAAGTTGTTGGCACGCGAAATAAATTTCCACTCGCACAAAAGTTGGCTCAAAGTGAAAAACAAAAGCAAAATATGGAAAATTTTCTTATTCCACTTTCTCTCTTTTGAGCTGATGGAAATGCTAAAATCTTAATTTTTGCACTAATTTAACACAAAAAACACTGTTTGATATTTATTTTTTAATTTTTTAATTTCTAACTGTATTTTACACAGTTTATTTGGCATTTTACAAACAGAAATTGTTTTTTTTTTGCCGTTTGAATTTAAATTTTTTACGGCATTTTGTTAATTATTTATGAAATCTATTTTATTACACAAATTTTTGTTAAGTTATATCCACTTTGAAGAAATGCTCAAAATCGTTTATTTCATACATTTTTCATAGACTGCGAACAGCTGCGAGACATCAAACAATTTTTTATTTCAAAATTATTTAACATTTTTGCATCTACAGAACACATATGAAACTTTTCATGGATTTGCAATAAGAAATAATATTATTGGTATTGTTTTTGTTTTTGTTTTTGCATACATGCAAATAATTTTTTATTTCCTAACTTTTTTGTTTATTTCGATTTTCAAACTTTTCTGAATTTTTTTAACTTCACTAACGACTCGACACCGAAATCGTTTTGCGCCGCTACCGTTATTTGACCGAATGCAACAAGTGCAAAATTAAATCTGGCCGGTTTTGAATCAAAGGATTTGGCAAGAAGTCGCTGACACACACACACCAACATACAAACATACAATATGTATGTATGTACATTAACAATTGTTGCTTCTTTGCGTGGATCAGATTTATATACACATACATATATATTTATACATATTTATTTATGCATATGTATGTATGTGTACGCCCTCTCTTGTTGTTTATTGTGCCCTCACGCTGTCATCAGCCTGCTTTGCAAACACTCAACACGCCCGCAAGTATGCTACGTTTGTGCAAATTACATAAAGTCTATTGGCCAATGCGCATGCTCAGCTTTATTCGCGGCGGTACCCTGTAGGAATTCGCTTGCGACGATACACCAATGAGTGCAGCAATGCAATTTCAACCCCTAAAATAACAACGTGTCACGCAACGAATGCATATACACTCTATTACATATAAATATACATGCGTTCATACATATAAACATGCATGCACACACATATATATACATGTACATAACAAACATTGTCAACTCAATTCACTCATATTGTCCTGCGTTAGTTATTATGCATTATGCATGCATACCAACATACCAACATATTTACATACATATACATACAAAAGCACAAAGCGTTATTTAACTTTGCTACCTGTAAGCGCAGCATGTGGCATTCATATGTTGCAAGAACTCGTATGTATTGTATGTGGTGGCAACATCTAGTTATTGAACACGCAGCTGCGTCTTCTTATTGCTAAGCCGGTAGAAAAATTTTTTAATACGAAATATGGAAATTAAAGTAAATGCATTAAGTTGCGTAAAAATAGCTAAAAAAAAATTTTGATACCCTAAAAACAAGTCAAAACCACAGCAGTTGTTGTAGATTGAACATAATAAAATGAAAAAAATATATATTTTTACTTCCTTTTGAAGAATCTCCGGTTTCGTTTGGGGCAACCGAATATTACGTATTGCCCCTCAGAAACAAATACGAAGTTCTGCGATGCTGAATCCCAGACCCTCCAGAATAGCAGAGCGACTCTTCCTTAAAGCGATCACCTATATATGGCTTATCCATTTCTTGATATCAAAAGTACAGCGCTGCATTTTGATATATTTCAAACTCAATTGTCAAACCAAATATGTTTTGTTTTAGTTAATATCAGGCATCTATGAAAATGGCCTTAAAACCAGCTACAAAAATCATAATTCAAACGTGGCCACATTTCGTGCCTTTAAGAGCAGATTATGATGCACTCAAGCGTCCAACTACTCAAGCAATTGGTAAAATTTTAATGAAATTTGAAGAGACTGGTTCGGTTACAGATATTCTGAGCTCTGTGCGTCATTACTTTGCTCCTTCGACCCCAAATATCGCAACTGTTAGAGTGTTAGTGTAGCCGAGGACCCGAACGTGTCCAGTTCTCGACGCTCTCATGGCAATCTATGACGTATTTGGTGCTTGGACTTACACAACAACTGTAGCCAGCTGATCATTCACAAAGCCGTACATACGTCAATTGGGTGCTTGAAGAACAAGCAGTGGGCGGTTATTTTTCGAACAAAATTTTCTTAGCCACGACGCATATTTCTCACTCGGGGGATACGTATTTAAGGATCCTTATCGCATTTGCGGCACGGTTGCTCCTTAAATAATTGAAGAGAGACCATTATTGCCAACGAAAGAAAAAACTTTTTGACTGGTATGGTCTTTGGTCGGAAGCTGTGATTGAAGTGCTTCTTGAAAATGACGACGGCAAGACTGTCACTGTACATTCGGAGCGTTATGTTCGTATGATAACCGACTTTTTTTGGCCTGCAATTGAATAACCCGACTTGGACAAAATGTGCTTTCAAGAAGATGGTGTCACCATGCCTGACAACACGAGCGAATATGTGTTTTTTTGCGAGCGAAATTTCCCTGGCGCGCAAATCTTAGCCTTGGCGATGTCAGTTAGACCTCAATGTCTCGTACGATTTAACACCGTTGGAATGTTTTTGTGAGGTTACGCGAAACACCGTTTTAGTTCGTATAAACCTTTGCCTGTTGAGCACTTGGAAACCAACATTCGTCAAGTTATGGCAGAGATATCGCTCGATATGTGCCAAAAAGTGGTCGAAAATTACCTCAAACGGTTTGAGCCTCTTGAGGTAGTAGTACCTTGATTACTTGTATTATTTTTAAAACTGTTTTGGGAAGACTTTAATTGGAAAAAATAAAATTCTAACAGTTTCATTTTGTAATACACTCGTATTACAGAAATAGGAAAATCAAAACGATTATTTTTTTTGTGACTATGCCAATCGAATAGGAACTAGGTTTAGACAATTTTATTATCCACTTGATCGTGTATATGTAGGTAAAAGGAAAAGTGAAAAAAAAACAACAATAAGTAAAAGCGGTACACATGTAGCTTATTGGGATAACCATTGGCTCGTGCTTTAGGCATCCCAAGGGTGTCTGGAAAAAGAAGTCGGGTAAGGAAACGTGGTAGTTTGCGAAATAGCAGCTATAATTTCTACAGTCCAAAACTATTGTAGTAATATTTTTACTATTTACATAAAATATAAATGGTCTGAAACAGTTCTCTAACAAACCCAAAAACAATTCCACAGAAAAATTGCCTGGAAAAGAATTAAAAAAATTTTTTTCTTCAAAAGGAAGTGATTTTTTTCCAAATTATAAATCGGACTGTAAAATGGAATGCTGGCAATAAAAAAGGACTAATTCCTATGAGAGCTTTATATAGTATTTTCGAAGAAAAGTTGATTTTTTCAAATCAAGTTAGAAGACCTTAAATTTTTTTTTTAAGTTGAAATCAAAAAGGTTTGTGTCATCCCTCTTCCCTTAAAATTTTTTTTTGCTTCAATGAAACTTTTAATTTGTATATTTTTTTTTTTTTTTTTTGGAAAACTTTTCCATGATGGGAACCTTAAGCTATTATTTGTGTAGGTCGCTTTTAACACAGTCTCTTCATATGCGAAAGTTTGAGTAAACCGTGCGCTTTGATTATTGCCTTGCTTCTACTATAATAATGTATTTAATATACCTTTAAGTATCATTATTTATTTGAAATATAAACATGGGAGCAAATCTGTCCTTTCAAAAGAAATAATATTGAGAACCAAAAGAAAATACATATGGAATGATATTAAATCGAATAGAAGACTTAACAGAACGTATAGTCTATTTGAGGGACGATGAATTTTAGGAAGGCGGAAGTTAAGGCTGTAGTCTGCTTTGGAACTAGAAAGAACGCGTTTTTTCGGCAATTTTCTTTTATTAGGAAGAATATTATTTCTGCAAAAAATTTATGTTTAAAAAATGTACACTATTTAAGCTTCAAAAAACAACTTCGAGTATCGAAAAATATTCTAATTTTCCAAGGTTCGGTTGAGTTTTCTGAAGCCGCCGCAGTCTGAACTCGTGAAACGGTGCCGGTGATGGAGGTCTTGCGATGCATTTGAAGGAAACAACAGTTGAAAAAAATTTTTTTTTTAAGTTTTATGAGTGTCTCTTCTATATAAACTTAAAATATATCGAAGAAACCCCACATTTTTTCAAATAAAAAAAATAATTCAATCAAGTTGCAAAAAAAAAATGGTTTAAAAAACAGTTTTGCCCAACTTTTTAGTTCAAATAGAATAAAAATTAATACTGAAGCTATATCAATTTCATCTTTTTATCTTTCGAATACATATTCTTGTATTATCACCGGCACCGTTTTCTAAGACTTGTAAAAATGAGAACTCGAGAAAACGCGTTGTCCGAGCACTCGAACCTGCGCGACGCTCGGCCACTAAAACTGCTCTAGCTTCTAAAATATGTCGAACAATTTGCTGAAATTTTGAAGGCCTATTCTTGAATAAGTTTAGAATAGATTTAAGGTAGAGATATATAGATGGAAATTATAGAGGCTGATATAGAGCGCAAAATAATAGGAAGATTTTTTGAATTTATTTTGACTCAACAAAGGAATCAATAGAAAATCTGTGAAATAGATTTCATGTTACAAACACAAACTTTTTCAAATAAATTAATCTCAAAATGGCCGCTGCTCAACATTTCTCCGAAGACGCCTTTTATCTAAGGAGTCTGTGGCCAAAGACGTAAACTACTTAATTTTAGTCCTGCATAGTCTCGGGAAAACGCTATTTCCAATGTACTGTCAAAATTTCGTAAGAAGCGGTGAAGATTTGTGCGAGTTATGTCTTCGGCCAGTTTAAAAAAAGTGATTTCAAGAAAAACGCATTTAAAGTTGTAAAAGGCGCTTGGGGGATACCTGCAAGGCACTGCCGTCGAATGAAAAATTTTAGCACTTAAACTTTTTTGCTGATATCCATATTTAGGTATGTTATTTCTAAGATCTTAACGCATCTTTTAAAACAAAAAAATTTTTTTTTTATTTTTGAAACATTCTAGACCAGAAAAAAAATGTAATTTTAGAAGCCTCTAAAACAGACTCTTGCAAGGCAATAGATAAGCAACAGTAAATGTAAAAACATTTGATTTGTGTTATGAAATATAAACAAAACTATTTTTAATATAAACAATTGTAAAACTATAAATAATCATTTAACTTTGAATAAAAATAATTCTTTTTCCATTGCTAAGCTGACCATTGAAATTAACTGTGTTGAACTTATCCATCCCAAATATTGCGGTAAATATATATGAGTATATTTTTTTTGAATTCCACAAAGTCGAACTGATACTGCATACACACCTACATACA